ATGTGATGGCATGTGATGGCATGTGATGGCATGTGATAGCATGTGATGGCATGTGATGGCATGGGATGGCATGGGATGGCATGGGATGGCATGTGATGGCATGTGATTGCATGTGATTGCATGTGATTGCATGTGATGGCATGTGATAGCATGTGATGGCATGTGATGGCATGTGATGGCATGTGATGGCATGTGATGGCATGTGATGGCATGTGATGGCATGTGATGGCATGTGATGGCACCCTACCTTATGTGCGAAGCCTGAAGGGCATGTGAGGCGTTGTGGATGGCACTTCAGCATGAAAGGTAAAATTGCATGCTTCTTTCTTTTCCCATGTTTGCTCCTCTCATGACTGCTCCTACTCTCTTGACTGCTCCTACTCTCTTGACTGCGCGCATCGTCAGGCACTTGTTGAGGAATCGTCAACTGTCTGGGGAGCTGCCTGCGTGGATCTTCAGCCTCACAGACTTGACTTCACTGTGCGTGCTGCCGTGCACCATCTGTCATGCACCATCTGCCATGCACCATCTGCCATGCACCATCTGCCATGCACCATCTGCCATGCACCATCCGCCACGCACCAAATGCCATGCCATGCACCAAATGCCATGCACCAAACATGCACCAAACATGCACCAAATGCCATGCACCGAATTAAGGATGAGCAGGGGCCGAACTCGAACATGTTCGTGTTCGACCCCACTCGAACATGGCCTTCTGCCGAACCGAACAGTGTTCGGTTCGGCGAACTACTTGACTGAAAATCTGTGTTCGCCGTTCGCCCTAGGAGGCGAACAATTAGCTGCTGGAGACGAACACGAACACGTTCAAGGCGAGCATGTTCGTGTTCGCCCAGGGGGGGATTCATTATAGTCACACTTGTCTGAATACGTTTTTGAGAGTGCAGGATGATAGCAAAGGGGGTGCAGGGTGTATATGTGTTCATGCAACGCACCAACAACTACAACATCATGTACTGTGTAGGTAAATGTCAAAGTGTCGTGATGCAAGTCCGGCTGAACTTCTCTTCTCATTGAAGCCTTCCCTCCCTTTTCTCTCCTCCTCCCTTCTCACTTTTCTGTCCCCTTTCTTCCAGCAGGTGACACCCCCTGACCCTTGTTCCTCCTGGCATATGTAATGAGCTTACTCTCCTTCCCTCCGCGTGTATCAGGCGACCCTGCCCCCTCCCGTGCCTGAGCAGCAGCTCCAGCAGCTCTGGTCACGGGATCCTTAGCCTGAATCTGCACTCCCTTCGCTCGAGCCACATTCGTCACATGCTCCTTGACTTTCTTTCCTCGCTGATCCTCCAACACTAGGACTCCCAACTCCCGCACTTCCTTCACCTTCCACCGTTCAGGACCCACGGCTAGGTCCAGTGTGTCCCTCTTCGCCTTCCTCAGGTATACCTCCTGTCCTGCCGCTATAGCCTCCCTCTGCTTTCCTTTACCCTCCTCCTTGCGTTGCTGATATCGGCGTTCATCCCTCAGCTGCGCGACGTGTAAATTGTCCAAGGCTGCTGGTGTCAGCTCCCTCAGGTACCGTGCCCTCTTCTGTGCTACTTCGGCCCATAAACCAGGCTCGTCTGCCTCCACGGCAACCGACAACAGCTTCGGTGCATCCACAGGTAAGACTGGGTCCCGACCGTACAGCAGATGGTAGGGTGACAAATTCTTCAGAGCAGACTGCTTAGCAAACCTGTATCCCGCCAGAATCCAGGGGAGCTCCTTGTCCCAATTCCTCTTGTTGTTCTCCCCGTATGCCCTCAGTCCCTTCTTCAAGGTCTGTATCATTCGTTCGGTCAATCCATCCGACTGCGGGTGGTACCTTGAAGTCACACGATGAGTAATCCGGTTCTCTTTCAGCATCTCCTCGAAGCTGCCTTGGAATTCGGTCCCCTGGTCAGTCAACACCTCCCCGCACGCTCCGTACCTGGTGAGCACCTCTTGCACGAAAGCCTCAGCAATCAAGCTGCTGTTTTTGCTGGACAAGGCCCTGGCCTCCACCCACTTGCTGGTATGCTCTATCATTACCAGAATATACTGCTTTCCTTTGGTAGACAGCGGCAGCTCTCCTGCCAAATCCAGCGATCATCGGTACCCCGCCCAGCTGAGGAAAGATGTGGTGAAGGAGGCCATGCAGAACAAGAAATGGGATGTGAAGCAGATTACCAAAGAATACGTAAAGAATTGGGGAAAAGTGGACCTGCTAGTAGCCGGCTGGGAGTGCCAGGGTACCTCGAGGGCAGTCCGGCATTAATAATGTGACAGCTGTCGTGATGCAAGTCCGGCTGAACTTCCCTTCTCATTGAAGCCTTCCCTCCCTTTTCTCTCCTCCACCCTTCTCACTTTTCTGTCCCCTTTCTTCCAGCAGGCTTTTACTTCCTCCTCTCCCCATGCCTCCTGCCGTCCAGGCTTTCTTTGGTTCAGTCTTGATGAAACGCACCGGCAGCTCACTCAGCTCCTTCCCTTCCTCCCAGAAATCCGAGCGGTATAGCACTTGCTCCTGCCAGGTGCATATCGTAGTCCCTATCTTGTAGAGCAACTCCATTCCCAGTAAAATGTCGTAGTCGTCTGATTCTGTCAGTCCGCACTGCACCCTTATCGTTGTCTCTCCCTCCCCTCCCGGCTGCAGCGTAATCTCAATCAGATCCTTAGTGCATGGCATCCACTTAGGAGCCCCTCCCTCTGCGGTCATGATCAGTATTCCCCGTCTCACTGTTTCCCAACCTCCTTGCGCCTTTAGCTGCTCGGTCAGCTTTCTTCCCAGCAACACACTCTGCGCGCCTGTATCCACCACGGCATTTTCTACCAGAATCCCTCGTACCGCTACAGCTTTCGGTTCCACCACCAGAGCCGTGGGCTGGCAGACCAGTCGCTCTTCAGGGTGCCGCCGGGCTGTCTTCGGCTTGTTAGTCCCCTCAGGTACCTTTGAAGTCCTTCTCATTGGCTGCTTTGGCTCCGCTCTACCGTCTTTCCCTCCACTCCTCAACCCCAAACTTTCTCGGTCCCTAGGTGACATAGCCATTGTCCCATACTCAGCTTCTCCCTCCCCGTAATCTTCCTCTCCCTCGTCTTCCCAAGCTAGTAACGCTTTCTCCGGATCTTCGCTGATCTCCACCTTACCCATCTGCGCCTTCAGCTTTGCTAACTCCCGCTCCAACTGTTGTTCTCTAGCGGATTTTTCTCCCCCCTTCTCCTTCTTGCTGTAGCACCTTTCTTCCGTATGTCCCCGTTTCCTACAGAAGGTGCAGATCGGCGCCTTGGGACAATCCCGCCTGAAATGCCCTTTCTCCTTGCAGATGTCGCATATGATGTCGATGGTGCAATCCTTTCGCAGATGCCCGTGTTCTTCGCACTTGTGACACCGTCGCTTGTCTTCAAATGGTTTTTCTCTCCGTTCTTCTTCCATCCGCTTTCCTTGCACCGCAGCCCATGCCGGCCTTCTGCGTTCGCCTGATCTTCCTGAGCTCGCTCCGCGTAACCCATCGAAGAACCTTCTTCCCTCCTCTACCTCTTTCGCCACCTGATACACTTGTCGCAATTTCGCCTTCATCCCCACCGCGTACAGTCGGCTCCGCATATCTTGCATCAGGTCTTCATCCAATCCACCCACAAACTTCGACACCAAGGTCCATTCTTCCAGGCAGCCCATGTCTTCGGCCAGCTCCAGCAGTCGATTATAGTACGCTAGCAGAGATTCTCCTCTCGCTCTCTTAAAATCTTGGAACTCTGTCATCCGATCTGCCGAATGTCCCGGGAATTGTTCTCGCAGGCTTTCCAGGAATCAGTCGGTGATTTCCGCTGGCGCGAAGTCTCCCCGTTTACTCTGCAGCAACAACCCTTGTCTCTCCACCCGGTAGTGCGTCAGCACTTCCCCCTTGAGCGTTCTCCCCAATCCTCTGAAGAATTCAATGGGATCAAACCCCTCCCTCTCCCAGCAGTATCGGATGTCATCCACCATCATAAGGTAATTCTTCAGTGTGGGCTCCTCTCCAGGCGCTCCTGAGAAGCGATTCGGCACCTCAATCTTAGGTGGAGCCGCACTTATCGTTCTGCCCGTTCCCCAGCTCGCCGTTCCCCTCTCGCCAATCCCCACAGGCTGATCTCCTCTTCCGGCCTCCATGGATTCGTATCTTCCAGCCGAGAATCCGTGGAACGCCTCTCCTTCTCGCTGGCTCCGCTGATCTTCCTGATGATCTCCCACTCTCGGTTCTGGAGTTCCACGCTGAGATCCTCCAACCCCGGCTGATCGGGATCCCATCCCTGGCGCTGGCGAATTGCAGTTAGAGCTTAGTGGAGGCTCTCCCCGTCGGTCGCCCTCCTTTCCTTGATCCGCGCTGCTATTACCACTCGCGTTCGCTGTTCCTTCTCCTGCTCGGAACCCAGGCGTCTTAGTCGGCAGGTCTTGCCCCTCCATATTCCGCGCAGGAAATCTGTGACCTGAACGCAGCTGATGAGTATGTAGTTCTTGATCAAGGCCGCTCATCCCTTACGGTACATCACCGCAGGTCCTCCAGGCGTTCGTACCTGTTCTGCTGAAATTTCAGCACTGCAACTTTTTGCTTGTATGAACAAGTCTAAACTCCCTCGCAAGGGCTCCGTCAGATTGCTCCTCTGCAGCACGCTAGCTCTAGTGCCAGACGCGAGTCAGCTGCACTGCTCGTGATGGCTCCAAGGCGCTAGTTGGGTCCCACTGGGCCCACTAGGCATGCACTGCAATCCAGCTGGAATCGAGTTCCTAGCCTGGAATCGCATTCCCAGCTGGAATTGCATTCCCAACCTGGAATCGAATTCCCAGCTGGAATTGAATTCCCTCTTCTGCACCAACCTCCTCGAATTTCCCTGCACTCGGCTCTGTAAAGCGTATGTACAGTACATACCACGCACACAAAAGAAATTAGAGTACAAGTCCAGAAATGCACAATTACCTGGCTGTTGTGTAATTCACGCCTTAGCCTGCCGGCTAGGCGTTAATAACGCGACAAAAGTCATACGAAATCCTACGCCATAGCACCACTGCTTCTACCAACAACAGCATCCTCCGCCCCCTCACCACCTGCCGCGTCTGCCTCCACCCACTCCTCCTCCTCCTCCTCCTCCTCCTCCTCCTCCTCCTCCTCCTCCTCCTCCTCCTCCTCCTCCTCCTCCTCCACGTCGTCCTCCTCCGCCCCATCGCCCTCAATGGCGAACTCTGGTGGTGCGACTCCTCTCGGTCGGCGGGCCTCGCCAATCCTCTGGCCAGGGTGTGAACTGTACCATGATCTGAGAATCATGACAGCTCGCGTCCTCTGAGAGGCCAGGCGGTGCCGCTTCCAGGAGATGAGGTTGCGACCAAGAGAGAACACCCGCTCGCTCGAAGCGGATGTGGCAGGGATGGCAAGATAATCCCGTGCCATGCGCCTCAGCGTCTGCATGTTGGTGGCGGTGCGCCACTACTCTAGCGCTGACACGTCGAACCGCACCCTCTCGGACAAGTATCTGCTAACCTCGTCATCCTGCACCATCCCAACCCCCCCCCCGCCTCTTGGCTCGCCAACAGACGCGCCGCAAGTCGTCGGCGACTAGGGAGAAACTGCGCTTCCTCGTCGTCCTCCCCCTCGTCTCCCTCCTCCTCCTCCACAACGGTGGCAAGTGGGGACGGCCGGGGAGCAAGCTTTGCAGGCCGGGCCTGGTACTCGGCCACGCGGTCGCGCACCAGCTTGATCACCTCGGCAGACGCTAGGCGCGTCCTCAACCTCCTGTCTGTCTCGGGATGCAACTTCTCCCAGTGCGTGTCGTCGAACCACGCCGCCTTCATTGATGGGTCCAAGAAGGTGGCGATCCAGTACTCGTTGCTGGTGATGTAGGCGTACTTCTTCAAATGCACCAGCGCCGCCTCGATTATCGGCTGCAGCGTCGGAGATGGCCCCTTGGCAAGGCGCGACTCCATTGCGTCGATCAGGCCGTTGTAGTACGGCACCACCATCGACACAGTCGGGTACGCCACCCCCTCAGCTGCCTTGGAGACTTTGGCGAAGGGGCTTAGGAATGTCTTCACCGCCTGCAGGGTCTCCCAGTCTGCGTCTGTCAGGCGCAGACTCTCCACCTTCTTCTCGTCGGCCTTCGACAAGCCCTGTCGGGTTAAGGGTCGGGGTTGGGGGGAGGTAAGGGGGAAACACAGGGTAAGGAGGATTTTTGACTGGCGGCAACATGCAAGCTGGACCATCAACATTGAGTGGAAGTGTTAACACACCCTTACAAACCCACCCATCAAAACCCAAACACACCACTTGACATGTCCTACCTGTGTCTGGGCAAAGAAGACTGTGATGGGGTTCTGCAAAACCCCCGCTCGCTCGACCATATCGTGGGTCGAACCCCAGCGCGTAGGACTGTCCTGCACCAGCTTCAGTGCCGGCTTCGGCTTGGCGGGGTTGGCCTGCACGTTCAAGGTCCGCTGAAGTCCCAAGAAAGACCCCGAGCGCTGCGGCGAGAATCCAATGTGCGAAGCCATCTCTCTCAGTATCTTCAACAGCTTCCGTATGGCAGCCACACCCAGCGCCGCCTGCACTGCAAGGTTGATCACGTGTGCCAAGCACCTGCGCGCGGACCACAACAATAGTGGCAAAGAGAAGGGGAAGTGATAGGACACATGGTTAGGGCGAGCCACAAACCCACTCCCTCATACACCTACACATTGTCCATGGTGGATCGACACACCCACAAAGGCTCACACACACCCACACTTACCGAAAGTGCATGCGCAAGTTGAAGAAGCATTGACCACCACACAACCGTGTCCTCTACCATCTACGCCATCTCCTTGCCAGTATGACGCCTGAGCATTTCGCGGAAAGTTCTCGTCTATGCAGTGACCCGTCACCACTAGCCATGCCTTGCCGTTGGGTGCCATCCACATGTCGACGGTGATCGACACCTTGCACCCCAACTCCCCCTCCTTCGCCAGCATCTCCGCAATGGCGGACTGTAGAGCGGCTGCTGCAAAGACCACGGTGTCGCGGGATACCGTCCAGCGCGAGGGGATGAAGTTCTTCTGCGTGCAGTTGCGGTTTAGCAGGACCAATAGCTCCCGGACCTGGAGGGGGGGAAGACATCGAGAGAGAGGGTTTTCAACGGCAATGGGATGGAATGGAGACGGATTGGCACAGTAGTACAATAGAAACTCCAAACAATCCACCACAAACCGGCCAAGCCTCTCATACAGCATGCATGCGACACTCACCGCCTCGGCCTCGACGATGCAGAAGGGGAGGTCGCAGGTGACCACCAGCTTGGCGATCGCCTACCGTAGCTCCACCGTGGAAAGCTTGGTCGTCATGAACCGCTCGATCCCGCCAGACCCTGCAGCTCCCCCAACCCCCTTCCCCTTCTTCTTTGCGAGGAGCGGCCAGGACTTGGCATGCGGCCACTTATCGACGTAGCCATCTGGCATCCCCTTGTAGCCCCCACGAGGAAACGTCTCGCTTGGCAACTGAACGCTATGAGTGACGAAACGGTGATACCACACGTGCATGTGAGCAGCGTGGAAGCTCTCGAAGTGACGCTCGCCGGGTGTAGTTGTGGATTGCTTCCACGAAATCCAGTCAGTGCAAATCTTGCACTGACGCTTTTCGTCTGACCTTTTAGGCCCAAACATATGTACTTGCCACCCGGTTGCTTATTACCCTTGCCAGTCCCCCTACTACTCGCGGACCCTCCGTCCTCGTCAAGGAACTCCGGAGCGATCACACCCTCGCCCAAGCGCTCGCTAGTGAATGTGCATGGATACGCTCGCTCTCTCAACTTGTTCGCCCTCTTCCTCCGCTTCGGCCCCGCAATGGACGCCCGCTTTCTTCCAACCTTAACCCCCACGCCCACGCTCCCTCCTCTTTCATCCGCATGCTGTGAGGCCGCCTCTGTCGCCGCCCGTCCACCACCCTCGCCCACCTCCTCTGGCTCCAACCCATCCATCTCGTGGTCTTCATCATCATCACCCCCCTCTTCCCCACCGCCATGCGTTTCGGGATCCCACCCGGCCTCATTGTCATCCCCGCTCCCCTCGTCGTCCTCATCCTCCGCGCCCTCACCCACCTCTTCCTCATCCTCCTCCTCACTACCACTCTCCTGCGGTGTCTGCCCAGTGGAAGGGGGTCGATCGCCAGTGTAACGGAACGAATGACGGGATGTTGGCGCCGCTACAGAAAGAAACCCCCCGACGAAACAAGCACCGGTTCCTGCAGGTCCGTCCCCTACTCGCCCCTGCATAGGTCGTGGTGGAGAACTTGGTGTACCGCCTTGACTCATGCCTGCACCTCGTTCTGCAGATCCTCCCTGGCCGGCGGATGCCATAACTCCACTCAACCCTAAACCCTAAAACCCTAAAACCAGACGGCGTAACGGTCGCGTGCCACGGATAGCACGGCCCTAATTGACCTAATAGTTACCACCAGCACGTTGAAAAGCTCCGGCCCTACTACAACTACTGACTTGACCGCTAGAATGTTGATCCACTAGCTACTAACGTTTAGGGTTTGGGAAGGTACCCTAAACTACGGACTAGATAGATGAAATGTCCACCCTAGATCGCATGAACGGAGTGCGGTGGCTATTAAAACCTCAAGGCTATGGCGGTTGTTGGAGGGAAGACTAATAAAGTCGATATGTGTTTGAGCTCAAGAAATGAGCCCAAACACAAATCGGCCGCGACCTAAATTTGGTCGCGGCCAATTTTGACGCGAACACATTTGTGTTTGTCGGGCCCCCCCGTCGAACACGAACGTGTTCGTGTTCGCCTTCCAGCGGCCAAAAGCAAAAGGCGAACGGCGAACGTGTTCGGCCGAACACCAAACACGTTCGCCTTGAACGAAATAGGCAGAAAAAAGAACCTCTTCGGTTCGCCTCGAACATGTTCGTTAATTTGCTCATCCCTACACCGAATGCGATGGAGCATCTTCCATATAATATGTGCCCTTGTCACCGTTTTCTTATCCCAACTTCCTTCTTTACACTTTCGATATTTCACTACACCATTCTAGTTCGCTAAAGGACTTCTTTCCTCTTCCCTGTTTCCGCCCAACCCTCTCCATGCACCAGAGGTATCAACTACAACAGCTTCTCAGGCTCCATTCCAGAGGCAATCAGCAGCCTCAAGCAGCTGCAGGAGTTGTGAGGGGTGGTGTATACACATGCACTGCTGGTGCTGCAAGCACTGCCAATGCACCAAACACTCACCAAATGCCATACACCAAATGCCATGCACAAAAAATGCACCAAATGCCACGCACCAAATGCCATGCACCATCTGCCATGCCATGCACCATGCCCTTGTCACCTTTTTCTTATCCCAACGTCTTTCATTGCACTTTTAATAATCCATTACACCATTCTAGTTCGCTAAATTGCTTTTCTCCTCTTCTCTGTTTCCGCCCAACCCTCTCCATGCACCAGAATGATCAATGACAACAACTTTTCAGGCTCCATTCCAGAGGCAATAAGCAACCTCAAGAAGCTGCAGGACTTGTGAGTGGTGATGCATACACATGCCCTGCTGGTGCTGCAAGCCCCGCCAGCCAATGCATGCGAGACCACGCGTTATGATCCTTCCCGCACCCAGCCTCCACCGCTCCTCTCTGTGCCGCACTTCACCGCACTATGCCGCGACTGATCCAGACGCATTGGGGAGCGAATGCTATCAGGGTCCATCCCCGAGTCAATAGGAGTGCTCACCAACCCATACCTTCCCTTCCGGCCTTCCCTCTCCAGTGATTCCCCTCCCCTCTCTGCACTTCCCTTCTCCCTGTTTCCGCCCAAACCACTCCATGCACCAGGAATATTGCGAGAAACAACCTCGCAGGCTCCATTCCAGAGGCAATCAGCAGCCTCAGTGAGCTAAGGCATTTGTGAGTGGTCCATTGCAAGACACATGCACCGCACACACATGCACTGCACACACATGCACTGCACACACATGCACTGCACACACATGCACTGCACACACATGCACTGCACACACATGCATAGCAGTCACATGCGTGTGAGGCCATGCGTTATCAACCTTCCCACATCCAACCTCTACCAATCCCCTCCACCACCCCTCTCTATCCCACATGTCACCGCACTGTGCCGCACTTGACCGCAGATACCTCTTTGAGGGCAATCTGACAGGGCCCATCCCCGAGTCAATAGGAGCGCTCACCAACCTGCACGATCTGTAAGGAAGTGGGATGTGTGTGGGGATGACGGAAAGGTGGTGCTCCAACCAACCGACGCTAACCTGCTCATTTATTCACTCCTTTGCTGCCGTGGCTTGGCTGGGTTTGGTTTGAATCAAGTTGCTCTAAGAGTGCATTCTGAGTCCTGCAAGCCATTGTTGCCTGATGCCACAACTCACTCACTCGGAAAGCATTGCAATGCGAGCGTCTTGAGAAGGAGCCGTGCCTGCCTCGTGCCTCGTGCCTCCACTCCACGCCACTCCTTGTCAAAAGCATTTTGTGCCATTGCAATGGCTCCAGTATGTAGGCATCTCCAAACTTGGAACTCTGCTCATGTTGCCACCCCGTGCCATGCCATGTCATCATATGCCATACCATGCCATCACACGCCATCCTATGCCATCCCATACCATCCCATGCCAAAACATGCCATTTCATACCAACACACTGCAGGCAGGTGTGCAGTGACAGCCTGAGTGGCACCATTCCCGTCGCTATTGGCAACCTCACCGCACTCACCAACCTGTGCAGCCATTCTCCCGCCACCCCCCTCTCTCCCTTTCTCCCTCCACCCACCCCTCTTCCGTTCCCCCTCGACCCCTCCTCAGTCCAATTCCCCCTTCACCTCCCCTTTCCAATTCCCCCTCCACTCGCCTCTCTCCAATTCTCCCTCCACCCATCTCTCTCCAATTTTCCCTCTTCCCCCTTCTCTCCCATTCTCCCTCCACTCCCCCCTGTCCCGTTCTTCCTATGCCCTGGGTTTCCCTTCTCTGGTTATCAGGAAGAAATTACCAAGAGAATACATGACACCACCATATACACGAGTAGACAAATGGCTACACCATGTTACACGAAATGCTTGTCTGAAAACAAGAAAAGAAAAAAAAACTCAGAACTTCTCCCACCCATCCCCCACTTCAGCATTCCCCCTTCCGTTCTCTCTTATTATTGAATTCTCTCCCTGCCTTTCACCTCCCTGCGTTCAATGCCTCTCCTTCCCCTCTCATGCCTCCCTTCCCCCCTCCTTCCTCCCCACTGTTATAACTGAGCTTAGAATCGATACATTAGTAATGAGCTTGAAGCTCCTTGAGTACAACCAGAATGAGCTAGGTATGGATAAGGAGGAAATCGGAGGCAATCCATAGAGATTGGGGGTAATCCCAAGGCAATCTCCAATTGGTGGGTTGGAGATTGCTTGGAGATCACATTTGGGATGTGGGTCTACACCCAACCAAACACAAAGTGTAAGCTACACTAAACTAGGATATAAAAAGTACACGTACAAAAGGTGAGATTGAGGGCTAACACTAACACCCTCATCCTCTGGGTGCTCCAGGGTACTCGCTGGCAGCAGTCTCTCAGGCTCCATTCCAGAGGCAATCTGCAGCCTCGATCAGCTACAGGAGTTGTGAGTGGTGACGGGGGTTGTAGCTCATATTGTAGCTTGCGCGAACCTATGCCATGCCATGCCACCCATCCCATTCCATCCCAACCCATCCCATCCCATGCCATGCCATGCCATGCCATGCCATGCCATCCCATCTCTCTCCCTGCCCTCTTCTTCCCATTCTCCCTCCACATTACCGTTTCTCTGGTGTGATAGCAGTACATGATTTTTTTGTCGGCTATAGGATAATAACTTATGTGAATGCTTTTATAAAACATTACGCCTTCCATAACACTACCATGTTAATGTGAATGCTCTGAATTGAGAAAGAGCATCTCTGCAGTTCTTCTATCCATCCATCCATGCATCCATCCATCCATCCATCCATCCATCCATCCATCCATCCATCCATCCATCCATCCATCCATCCATGCATCCATCCATCCAACCATCCATCCATCCATCCATCCATCCATCCATCCATCCATGCATCCATCCATCCATCCATCCATCCATCCATCCATCCATCCATCCATCCATCCATCCATCCATGCATCCATCCATCCATCCATCCATCCATCCATCCATCCATCCATCCATCCATCCATCCATCCATCCATCCATCCATCCATCCATCCATCCATCCATCCATCCATCCATCCATCCATCCATCCGTCCATCCATCCGTCCATCCATCCATCCATCCATCCATCCATCCATCCATCCATCCATCCATCCATCCATCCATCCATCCATCCATCCATCCATCCGTCCATGCATCCATCCATCCATGCATCCATCCATCCATGCATCCATCCATCCATCCATCCATCCATCCATCCATCCATCCATCCATCCATCCATCCATCCATCCATCCATCCATCCATGCATCCATCCATCCATCCATCCATCCATCCATCCATCCATGCATCCATCCATCCATCCATCCATCCATCCATCCATCCATCCATCCATCCATCCATCCATCCATCCATCCATCCATGCATCCATCCATCCATCCATCCATCCATCCATCCATCCATCCATCCATCCATCCATCCATCCATCCATCCATCCATCCATGCATCCATCCATCCATGCATCCATCCATCCATGCATCCATCCATCCATGCATCCATCCATCCATCCATCATCCATCCATCCATCCATCCATCCATCCATCCATCCATCCATCCATCCATCCATCCATCCATCCATCCATCCATCCATCCATCCATGCATCCATCCATGCATCCATCCATCCATCCATCCATCCATCCATCCATCCATCCATCCATCCATCCATCCATCCATCCATCCGTCTATCCATCCATCCATCCATCCATCCATCCATGCATCCATCCGTCCAACCATCCATCCATCCATCCATCCATCCATCCATCCATCCATCCATCCATCCATGCATCCATCCATCCATCCATCCATCCATCCATCCATCCATGCATCCATCCATCCATCCATCCATCCATCCATCCATCCATCCATCCATCCATCCATCCATCCATCCATCCATCCATCCATCCATCCGTCCATCCATCCATCCATCCATCCATCCATCCATCCATCCATCCATCCATCCATCCATCCGTCCATCCATCCATCCATCCATCCATCCATCCATGCATCCATCCATCCATCCATCCATCCATCCATCCATCCATCCATCCATGCATCCATCCATCCATCCATGCATCCATCCATCCATCCATCCATCCATCCATCCATCCATCCATCCATCCGTCCGTCCATCCATCCATCCGTCCGTCTATCCATCCATCCGTCCGTCTATCCATCCATCCTCCACCACTTCAGCTTTCCCCCTTCCATCTTCTCAATCATGACTTCCCTTCCTGCCTTCTACCCCCCTTCCCCTCGCCAACCTTCCCCTCTCTGCGATGGCCCCTCCCTCATCATTCTCCAGAAACCTCAACGACAACGGTCTCTCAGGCTCCATTCCAGAGGCAATCAGCAGCCTCAAGCAGCTAAAAAGCTTGTGAGTGGTGATGGGGTAGGCATGCAAGGTGCTGTGGGATGATCAGGTGTGGTAGCCTGAAAGGTCCCTCTCAGGGAGGGGATCAGAGGGTGATAGATAAGAGGAACGCCTGAGTGAGTGAGCGAGTGGAGGTATCCTTATGACCTTATGGCCTGACCGTCCATCCCATCACATCCCATCACATCCCATCCCATGCCATCCCATGCCATCCCATGCCATCTCATGCCATCCGATCCCATCGCATCCCATCCCATCGCATCACGTGTTATGCCATGGCATGGCAGGGAGCTGAAGGACAACAGGCTGAGTGGCACCATTCCCTCCTGCATCTGCAACCTCACCGCACTCACCTTCCTGTGCGGCCCATTCTCCCTCCACACCCTCCCTCTCCACTTCTTCTTTCTACCTGCCTCTCTCTGCTGAGCATTGAAAGGGTGCCCCTCTCTGCCTTCTTCTCCTCTTTCCCTCTTCTCCTCCTCCTATCCTTCTCCTCTTCCCTTCTCCTCCTCTTTTCCTTTGACCCCCTACTTATTTTCCCCTCCCCTCTTCTCCTTTATCCCTCTCCCCCTGTTCTCATGTTTTCCTCCTCTTCTCTTCCCCTCTTCTGTTCTCCTCTTTTTCCCTTCGTCTCTCCGTCCCTCCATCCATCTCCATTCACCCACCTGTCTGCCTTCAGGGAACTAAGCAACAACAGCCTTGCAGGGACGATACCGGCTGCAATCACCACGCTCACTCAACTTCAACACCTGTCAGTCACTCTTACCTCTCCAGCTGCCATCACCACACTGAAAGGTCATCTCTGAATGGTGGTGTGCTTGAGGAATCTTCTCAACAAACAACCTCGTTGGGTTACCAGTCACAGGTGAGAATGGCTGGATTCGAACCGCTGCAAGCCTACGAAGAGTCTATGGATTCGCTGATTGGAACAACCAGCTCCATTAACGGCGAGCACAAATATCCAACAACTGTCACCACTACCCATCTCTTCTCTGTGAAACGCCAACCATACTGCTCGCATCACCTTTCTGCCATTCACACGTCCCTTCCTTTCTGCCATTCACATGTACCTCGTTTTCTGCCACCCACCCGTCCCTTCCTTTCTCCTGCCTGGCGGCTGCACATATAAGGTTGCCAACCTCGTCAGCCTTTTTCAATGAATGCCATCCACTCGCTTGCTCCCATTCTCCCTCTGCCATGACACCACTTACCCTCCCCTTCCCTCCCTTGTCTACCATCGCTCCTGAGAGACCATCCTTCTCTTATCATGCCTTGATACGTTTGAATGGATTCCCCTCCTAATCGCCCTGTCCACACCCAAGAGATGATGCAAGGAATCAAAGGATAAGCCTGTCCCGCTGACCCCACACGGAGCCGTGTTTTGAGTCGACTCAAAACACTGATCCCACACAGAGCTCCCGTACAAGAATTGGATTCTACGACTGAGATCTCAGTCTCACACATAGCGTAGAACGGAACAAAGATCTAATTCGATACGCACATGCTAGTATGCAACTCATGTCCCATCACTCCCGTTTCCCTGGACTCCCTCTTTCCCCTCCCATCACTCCCTCATTCCCATCACTTATTCTTGGAGGGCACCTCTCCTCTTCTCTTCCCACTGCTTCCCCTCCCACCTTCCCATGGCATCACAGCGGCCTTGACCACAACCAGCTTACGGGGGAGCTGCCCTCCTTCCACCACATGCCCAATCTCACTGCGCCATACAGTCTACATGTTCACAACAACTACTTGACGGCCACACCAGACCCTTCGGATACCCACATGTTGTGTCTGTTGTACCACAACTGCCTTCACGGCAGCACAACCGACTGCGCCAGTTGGCAGGACCAGAGGCGAGCCAGCGAGTGCCGGGCGTTCTGTGCTCCATTGAGCCTGATTCCTCTCGCGACATGACTGCCTGCTATGATGATGTTTATGACCCGCCGCCACCCTACTGTACACCTGAGGGCCAGTGCGTCTGTGATGAGGGGTACACACCAGGGACAAAGGCTGGCACGTGCGTCCCTCATGGTATGCCTGCTGCGGTATGCCTGTTATTGTTTTAACGTATGGATGCCGCTGAGTGCGCTCACTAGCTGAAGCCTGCTTTCTTCTTTTCTTCCTTTTTGACGATAAGCTCTTCATTGCTGCATCTTGTCTTCCAAAGAATACTTGCCAACGTGCCTGCTTGCATGCCTGCATGCAATTCTAAAGGCTTGCGGACCCGACTCGTTTCACCGGCCTGGGGAACAGAGCCTGTGGGCCTTGGGGGAGTGGCGGCGCCACCAGAGCTTGCTGTTATCTGCCCGCCCTTGGCTTGGGAGAGTGGTAGTGCCGCCACTCGTGCTCAGAAGCCCAACTTGTTTCGCTCCACTCCACTGCCCACACTGGGTCAGCAGCGTCGTGTGTGCTCGTGCGTCTGTGCACCTGCACCACCAGTCGAGTTCCCCTCGTGACTGCACACATCATCTCCTCCCTCTCATCCCGCTCCCTCATCGACTATGCCCAGCACCAACTCGCTCCACTCTCTCTTTCCACACCCCACCATGTGACTTACCAGGCGCGTTTTGAGTCGACTCAAAACACACCTGACTGCACACATCACCTGCTCCCACTCATCCCGCTCCCTCATCCACTATGCCCAGCACCAACTCTCTCCCCCCTCTCTTTCCACAACCCACCATTTGAACCACCAGTCCCTGTAGTGGTGGGGGTGGCTCCGTTTGCTCTCCAGATGCCTGGAAACCTGCTGCTGCTGCTGCTGCTGCTGCTGCTGCCACTGGCGGTGCTGGTGCTGCTGGCCTTCTCACTGCCGCAGCTGCTGAGGCGCCTCAAGAATCGACCCCCCACACGCTACTTCTTTTCAAAGAGAGCCCTTGCTGCCCGGCAAGCTGCCATGGGTGTGGAGATTACTCGCTAGCGCCCCTCTTGTAAAGTGGGAATGACACAGTGTTGGTAGCAAGATGTGCACCTTGAAATTATGACATTATATTATGTACGGTACTGTTTCTCTTGTGTACTCTCGATTTATCCCATCATATTTGTCTGTCCACAAATTTCAACTCTTCATACTTGATGCCCCACAAACGTTTTTCCGACATTTGCGCTTCATGCTGTATATAATCTTTGGTATGCTGTATAATCTTAGTATGATGAAATTCCTCTCTTACCATTATGCAAAAACGTGATTAGTCATAGTCTTTACCCACAAATTATACTAAACACCTTTTGTTGAAAGTGACTAACTGTAAGGAATTTTCTCGGCATTCCTTACGGAGCCCGACTACATCGCGTACAGCAACAGCCGTTGTTCGCCCGTTACTGCTAACGGGACTTCGCCAACTTCGCGCGCACTGTTTTGCCAAACCTCGCACTGCTGGCCCGGCCGTGTCGGCCTACGCTTCGGGACTAGCCCGAGCCTCGCTGCCAGTGTAGCACTAGCTAGCTCGCACGCACCGCGTTACCGTTTGCATGTTCGCGTATAAATGTTCGCTCATGCCTTCGCTCACATCTTTGTACTCGTTTTGACACCTTAGTGCAATTCTCGCTACTTCGATTCATTGCACGCGTAACACTTGGTATTCAGAGCCCCTTTCTTTCGGACCGCGCATCTCTGCACCCTAGGAAATCAACTTTTGATATTTCACTCGAAGGGACTCACGCACCTTAGCACCTAGGAGCCGCTGTCCTCGCGTTCTCTCGTAAACGCGTGCAGCCACGACTGCGCCTAGACTAAGACGAGCCGACACCCTTCGAAATGGCCGAGCACATTGATATCACGACGCTCACGCAGGAGCACTTGAACGATCTGCTGCGGCAAATCCGCGAGAGCGCCGAGGAAATCGCGACGCTGACGGCAAAACGCTCGTCCCTGCAAAATGACCTCACACGAGCACAACAGGCACAATCTCAAGCACCTGGCACTCCGGAACAGCCCGCACCACAGGCACCACAACACGGAAGCGTAGGGCAACCCGCGAGCGCGGCCATTGATGGCGTCGTCCGCCCCGACGGAGACGACGACCACGGCACGACACACCCCGAAGCGACGAATGCGGCCCGAAGCCAGCCACGCGTCACAATCTCGGCACCAACCGACGGTTCGGCACTGCCGTCACCGATGCCGCTGAAGCCGCAGCGTCCGCCATGCTTCGATCCCACCCAACGGGGTGGTCCTACCGTTCAGGCGTGCTTGTTCACGATGAACGTGTTTTTGGACGCCAACTACGTCTCGGAGGATACGGCGAAAATTCGCTACGCCGCGTCGTTGCTGCGAGGACCCGCCATGGATTGGTGGCGCGTCATCGTCACGAAGCCATTAGACTACGCGACTCTACCGACACGGGAAGGACAAACCGGACTCTGGGCGCCGTCGTATTTCGTGGAGGTGCCCCAGTATCGCACGTGGGACGCGTGGTGCGCAGGTCTGCGCGCTCGTTTCGAGCCAATCGCGGCTTCGATCGCAGCGCGACAGAAGCTCCGCACTTGGCGCTAACTCGGTTCCGTCCAAGACTACACGAGCGGATTTCTGGCGCTATGCGAGTAGGTGGGATATATGCACGAGAGCGAGCGCATCGACCGCTACATCGGCGGCCTGAAGCAGGACATCGCTCAGGAAATCCAGCTTCGTGGCGTCACCGACTTTCAAGAAATTCTCGCTATGGCGGAGAAACTTGATTTCTTCCGCCGACCGAGACCGGGGTCCTACGGAAGCAGCCATTGGGGACATCGGCCTCGTGGGACGAACGAGGGCGCCACGATACGTGCCGTCGCCACAAATGCCGCTGCCGCACCGTTCAAAGGGCGCTGCTTTGCGTGCAATCGGCCGGGACACCGCAAGAGCGAATGCCCGGAAAACGCTAAGGGAAAGGGGGAAGCTGAGCAGCAGAAACAGACCAAGCAGCAGGGAAACGCTGGGAGTCAGTAGCAGACGGGCCCTCTACTGGCAGGTTACGCCGCTCGCCCGACCCAACCGACCCTCACCGAGTGATTGTGCCGGTTCACGCAATCGACCACACCCGGCCGAATAAGGAGGGGACTACGGTAGACAGCCCCATACTGCTTAGTGGGAAAATTGGGACGGACTTAGTAAAAATCTTCGTAGACGGGGGAGCCAGCCACAACCTCATCAACACTGCCACAGCACGAAAACTGCGATTGCCACTTGACAGATGTTTACCTGAGATCGACGCAAGACTGGTAGACGGCACGCCGCTGGCGATACGGGAACGCGTAGACCGGGCTCGGATTCGATGTGGGGGTAACTTCACGTTTAGCCAGGAAATGCTCGCAACGACCCTCGACGGAACCGATATTTTACTCGGGCGTGATTGGCTGCGACGACACAATCCGCGAATCGACTGGACGACGGGTGACTGCACCGTGCGAGTGAACGGTAACAACATCGCCTTACCTCGCTGGGGCTCGCCTGAGTCTTCGTCGGTGCGTGTCAACGAGATCACGATGAAACGCGCCGTAGCGGCAGGAGCTGACGTGTACGCGGTCGACATTCGGGAAGCCGAGGCAGCAAACAAAGGAGGGGATTTACAGAAACTGCTGCCCGACGTACCGAGTGATCTGGCAGCACTGTTGAAGCAGTACAGCGACATTTTCCCGGACGATTTACCGACGTGACTGCCACCTCAGCGACCGCACGACCACAGGATAGAGTTAGAACCGGGGGCACAGCCAACAGTACAGCGACAGTTCCGACTGACCCAGCCCGAACTGGACGAACTGAGGAAGCAGCTCGATTACCTGCTCGAGAAGGAATTCATTCGCCCTAGTTCGTCGCCCTTCGCAGCACCGATACTGTTCACACCGAAAAAAGACGGGGGATTTCGCATGTGCATAGATTACAGAGCACTGAACAGGGTTACCATCAAATCCCGTTACCCCATCCCGTGAGCCGACGAACTGATCGACCAACTGCGCACAGCCCGAGTTTTCTCGAAAATCGACCTCCGAGGGGGTTACCACCAGATTCGCGTCAATCCGCCCAACTGCCCTAAGACCGCATTTCGCACACGCTACGGATCCTTCGAATATATCGTCATGCCCTTCGGACTGACCAACGCCCCCGCCACTTTTCAAATGACCATGAACAAAGCTTTCCGCCCGCTCTTAGATAAGTGTGTCATAGTATACCTGGACGACATACTGATTTACAGCCCTGACAGAGCACAGCACGACATCGAAGCAGTTTTTAAAATACTGAGTGAGAACCGCCTACTGACAAAAGCATCTAAGTGTGAGTTTTTACAGGACCGCCTGGAGTTTTTGGGGCACGTTATTTCAGCTGCAGGAGTGGAAATAGACCCGAAGAAAATTGCGACGATTCAAGCATGGCACGCGCCGACCAATTTGACCGAGTTGCAGAGTTTTTTGGGGTTCGTCAACTACGTGCGCCGGTTCGTCCCCGACATGGCAAAGCTGACTGCCCCGCTGACAGACCTGCTGAGGAAGGGGGTTGAGTACACGTGGGGGGAGAAAGAGCAAGCTGCCTTCTCGGCCCTCAAAAACATTTTGTGCTCACCGCCCGTGCTTCACATCGCAGATCCACACCGTCCGTTCGAGCTCGTCACTGACGCAAGTGACATCGCTGTGGGAGCAGTACTGTTGCAGGATTTCGGGAACGGCCTCCAGCCAATCGTGTACGAGTCTCGCAAGCTGCACCCGCCCGAACGCAACTACCCGATACACGACCGCGAAATGTTGGCGATCGTGCACGCGTTCAAGGTTTGGCGGTGTTACCTGACTGGCGCCGACGTGACAGTACGGACAGACCACCGATCACTACAGTACCTACGCGCCCAACCAAATCTCAATCCACGACAGATTTGCTGGTTGGACTACCTCGAGTCCAACTTCCACTACACGGTTACGTACAAGAAAGGCGCATCCAACATCGCCGACGCACTCACCCGCCCTACCGCCCAACTCCATGCCATCCTACTCGCCCAAACCAACCCGCTTTTGACAGGCCTATTCACCCACGGATACCGCACCGACCCATTTTTCACGACCGGAAATTCACAGCAACTGGGAGAAGCTAAAGGAGTTTATTACGTAAAAACAGGCACCAACCGCATATGGGTACCCGCGTACTCACTACTGAGGGAGCTGCTACTGCAGGAGGCACACGACGGAATTACCTCGGGACATTTCGGGGTAGAAAAAACGCGACAGCAACTGCAGCGGTATTACTACTAGCCGGAGCTGTTGACCGACGTGCAGCAGCACGTGGGCTCGTGCCCCACGTGTCAGGTGATGAAGAGCTCGAGGAAGCGGAAGACGGGTCAATTGCAGCCGATACCACCGCCCGAGCGCGCCTGGCAGCAGGTTACCATGGACTTCGTCACGAAGTTACCTTCGAACCCTGGGGGTAACGACGCGGTGATGGTCGTCATTGACAGGTTGACAAAGATGGCACACTTCGCTGCGTGCAAGAAGTCGATCTCAGCTGAGGAGACCGCTCGCCTGTTCATCGCAGCCGTTGTTCGCCTGCACGGGATACCAGCAGCGATTATCAGCGACAGGGACACGAAGTTCACCAGCAACTTCTGGAAGAACCTCTGGGAGCAGTTCGGGACCAGGCTACAGTTCAGTTCGTCGTACCACCCCGAGACCGACGGTCAAACGGAGTGGACGAATCAGACGATGGAGCAGTTGATTCGTGCCACGTGCGACGACCCCACGACTTGGGAGCAGCAGCTGCCGCTGATCGAGTTCGCGTACAACAACGCCACGTCAGCGACGACGCAGCAGTCCCCCTTCTACCTGAACTACGGGCAAAACCCTACAGTGCCCATGACGCCGAGTCCGGACAACCCAACACCACGTGCACAGCAATTCGCCGAAATTCTGCAAGCTGCCCGCACCAGAGCCGCAGAAGCAATTAAAAAAGCAAACGTCATCGCTAAGCGCAACGCTGACCGCCACCGCCGCCCAGTCACATACTAGTTAGGGGATTACGTACTGCTCGACACGCAAAATCTGCGACTGCCCAACGTACCGAAACTTCAACCGCGCTACTGTGGCCCATTCCAAATCAGCCACATGATCACGCCAGTAACCGCGCACCTACTGTTACCGACCGACTGGTACATCAGCCCATCGTTCCACGTCAGCCTACTTCGCCCATACATCCCAACCACCAGCCAACTGCCTCGTCACCGCCCGCATTCCATGACTCGCCCTGCATCGGAGCCGATCATCGAGCCCGAAAAAATCCTGAGCCATCGGATTCGCCACCCCACGGGAATCAGGAGGATTGAATTCCTCATTCGCTGGAAGGACCGCACGCCAACTGAAGATAGCTGGGTGCCCCTGGCCAACATTGAAAACCACCCTGCCCTGCAAGTGTAGCTGAGGAGCCGGGGATTCCGCGATATACACGCACTCGCTTAGCGGAGGGGGCTTCTTGAGGGGGGGGGGGGGGGTAGTGTAAGGAATTTTCTCGGCATTCCTTACGGAGCCCGACTACATCGCGTACAGCAACAGCCGTTGTTCGCCCGTTACTGCTAACGGGACTTCGCCAACTTCGCGCGCACTGTTTTGCCAAACCTCGCACTGCTGGCCCGGCCGTGTCGGCCTACGCTTCGGGACTAGCCCGAGCCTCGCTGCCAGCGTAGCACTAGTTAGCTCGCACGCACCGCGTTACCGTTTGCATGTTCGCGTATAAATGTTCGCTCATGCCTTCGCTCATATCTTTGTACTCGTTTTGACACCTTAGTGCAATTCTCGCTACTTCGATTCATTGCACCCGTAACACTAACTGACTCAACGCCGTGTCTGGCATTTCACTGTAACGCGTTAATCACTTCAATCTCACCCCTTCCCCCAGCTCACCACCACCAACCACGCTGGTCAGCCCAAGTCTTCAGATTCTTGGAGAGCTTTGATTCAAAGATAACCGACGCTGCTGTGCGGTTCAGTACGTTTGGACAATATGTAAAACGTTTCTGTTCGTTACAAGTGGTAAAATTAGGTGAGAAGCCAACAGAGAGCAAGCAACCCACAGTCCCATTCCTTGAGTTCTCAGCACTTTCCCAAGCTGGTTGTTGTCGCACATCCCTCCATCACCCTCCGCATTCCTTGCGCGCTTCGTGAGACTCCCGTGACAGACGAAGACAGACGGAAAATTGTTGCGTGTTAGATTTTTGGGTTGCGTAGCAACCCTATACATTTGGTAGCACTTTTCGGTCGACTCGAATGAACAGTGCAGTTTTTGTCATTTTCCCAACGTTTAAAGCCCTCGTTATAACGTTTTCAAAACGAGTGCTCCCAAGTCGTGGACATGACGCAAGCACTGATCACAAGAGTCCCCAAAAAATGAAACCAAATGTAACCTTTCATTCCATAATCGTCGATAAATACGGCGAATGGAACAATCGGTCGTCACGAAACACAATTGACGAGAAACACCCACTGGACGTGAACGAAAATCATGTGCAGTGCATCCATTGAACACGTGCTAAAACAAAACAATTGAGAGTGAATGCTAAAATGCATCGGTTGCTTCAACAGAGATGGTTCCGGTATGCTAAGGCGAGCTGCGCTGCCCCAACAACGATCCCCACCTCACATGCAGACCCGACACATTTTAACATCACACCTCAATTGCGTAACATGTGCAAAAACAACACAAACAACTGCTAGTGAATGCTAAAATGCATCGGTGCTACAGCAGAGGTGGTTCCGGTATGCTAAGGCGAGCAACGCTGCCCCAACAACGATCCCCACCTCAAATGCAGACCCGACACACTTAACATCACACATCAGTTGCATACAAGAGGCACTTTTGCACACGCCTCGAGACAGACAGGTGCAAACAGAAAAACGCACATATCTCACACAGGCTCACACGCGCACGTACAGGCACGCATAAGCACATGCACAGCACACACTAACACACACACACAAACAACCACAGATAGATACACAGACCGTAATAAAGAGGCAACCGTCATGAATAAAATTCAGAAATGCAGAAGTGATTGGTAGTCTATCCCACCCCCCCCTCCCTACAACCCTCCCTCCCTCCTTCCCTCATCTCCATCCCACTCCCTCCCTCATCTCCCTTCTCAACTAATGCGCCTGCACAAAGCAAAATCAGAGAAGTCAACACACACACGCCCTGCACAAGAAGGCAAGAACAGAGAAAGGAACAACACACCTTGCACAAAAAACAGTGTATGTTTATGTGTACAAGAAAGCATAAACCAAATACTGCAACACACGTGCTCATACAGGAGGCCAAGCAAGAATTACAAATCATCATCCCTCACTGCAGTGCGCGAGTGCGCTGCGCTTCAGAAAGAAGCCAGCGCGCGGCAACGCACCCGCCCGCCTTAAGCAGCAAGCAATCCGTGTCAAGGCGCCAAAGGCATCACGCTAGCGCTTCAGGCACGAGCACCACAGGGCTCAGCACACTAGGTGCCAGCGCCCAAGTGTTAGAGCACCCTCCGCGAGCGTGCTAGGCACTAGCTCGCAAATTGCCAGCGGCCTAGACGAGCGTCTGAGGTGCCAACACCTTAGAAACCGGCACTTTAAGCGCTAGTGCAGAAAGCGACACTTATTTGCATAAATAGCCCCAGTTGCCCAAGCACCAGCTAAAATTATACTAGTGCTTACGCCCCAGCAAGCTCATGCGCACTCTCACTCGCACTCTCACGCGCTCTCTCACGGGCACTCTCACGCGCTCTCTCACGCGCTCTATCAAGGCGCACTCTCAGGCGCACTCTCCCGCGCGCTCTCTCGCGCTCTCTCTCCCGCACTCTCATGCGCATTCTCTCTCTCACGTGCTTTCTCTCGCGCACTCTCATGCACATTCTCTCTCTCACACGCTCTCTCACGCGCACCCTCACACGCTCCCTCAAACGCTTTCTCACACGCTCTCACACACGCTCTCTCACGCGCACTCTCACGCGCTCTCTCACGCACATTCTCTCTCTCACAAGCTCTCTCACGCGCACCCTGTCACGCTCCCTCACACGCTCTCTCACGCGCTCTCACACGGGCTCTCTCACGCGCACTCTCACGCGCTTTCTGACGCGCTCTATCAAGGTGCACTCTCAGGCGCACTTTCACACGCTCTCTCTCGCGCTCTCTCTCCCGCACTCTCACGCGCATTCTCTCTCACGTGCTTTCTCTCACGCACTCTAACGCACATTCTCTCTCTCACACGCTCTCTCACGCGCACCCTCCCACGCTCCCTCACACGCTCTCTCGCGCGCTCTCACACGCGCTCTCACACGCACTCTCACACGCGATCTCTCACGCGCACTCTCACGCGCTCCCTCACGCGCTCTATTACGCTCTCTCACGCGCTCTCTCATGCGCTCTATCACGCGCCCTCTCATGCGATCCCTCACGCACTCCCTCACGCGCTCTCTCAAGGTGCACTCTCAGGCACACTCTCATGCGCTCTCTCTTGCGCTCTCTCTCCTGCACTCTCACGCGCACTCTCACGCACCCTCTCTCGCGCTCTCCCTCCCGCACTCTCATGCGCATTCTCTCTCTCATGTGCTTTCTCTTGCGCACTCTCACGCAGATTCTCTCTCTCACATGCTCTCTCACGCGCACTCTCACACGCTCCCTCACACGCTCTCTCACACGCTCTCACACACGCTCCCTCACGCGCACTGTCACGCGATCTCTCTCACGCACATTCTCTCTCTCACACGCTCTCTCACGCGCACCCTGTCACGCTCCCTCACACGCTCTCTCACGCGCTCTCACACGCGCTCTCTCACACGCACTCTCACGCGCTCTCTGACGCGTTCTATCAAGGTGCACTCTCAGGCGCACTCTCACACGCTCTCTCTCGCGCTCTCCCTCCCGCACTCTCACGCGCGTTCTCTCTCTCAGAGTTTTCTCTCGCGCACTCTAACGCACATTTTCTCTCTCACACGATCTCTCACGCGCACCCTGACACGCTCCCTCACACGCTCTCTCACGCGCTCTCACACGCACTCTCTCACGCACTCTCACACGCGCTCTCTCACGGCACTCTCACGCGCTCTCTCACGCGCTCTCTTACGCTCTCTCACGCGCTCTCTCATGCGCTCTATCACGCGCCCTCTCATGCAATCCCTCACGCACTCCCTCACGCGCTCTCTCAAGGTGCACTCTCAGGCACACTCTCACGCGCTCTCTCTCGCGCTCTCTCCTGCACTCTCACGCGCACTCTCACGCGCTCGCTCTCGCGCTCTCTCTCCCGCACTCTCATGCGCATTTTCTCTCTCACGTGCTTCCTCTCTCGCACTCTCACACACATTCCCTCTCTCGCACGCTCTCTCACGCGCACCCTCACACGCTCCCTCACGCGCTCTCGCACGCGCTCTCTCACGCGCACTCTCACACGCTCTATAACGCGCCCTCTCATGCGCTCCCTCACGCACTCTCTCACGCGCTCTCTCAAGGCGCACTCTCAGGCACACTCTCACGCACTCTCTCTCTCGCGCGCTCTCTATCGCGCACTCTCACCACATTCTCTCTCTCACGCGCTCTCTCTCGCGCACTATCGCACGCATTCTCTCTCTCTCACGCTCTCACACGCTCACATGCGCTTTCTTATCCGCTCTCTCACGCGCTCTCACGCGCTCTCTCACGCGCCCTCTCACGCGCTCCTTCACGCGCTCTCTCACACGCTCTCTCATGCGCACACGCTCTCCCTCACGCTCCATCTCTTTCTTCTTTAAATGAAAGTACAATGCAAGAGGAGACCAATCGACACACAGAAAAGGAATTAAAAAAAAAAAAGAAATAAATAAATAAGCGAAGAATTCAGAGGGGGGGAGGGAGGACGGAAGGACCGGGAACGCACCTGATAACCACGGTGCTTGAGAAAACAAGTCGCGCTCGCGCACCAACCCGCTCGCGCACCAACCCGCGCTTGCGCTCGTGCACCTGTCGCCGGAGGCGACGGCGGAGAGGGAAGGAGAGGCGACGGCGGGGAGTGGGGAGAGGCGACCGCGGGGAGGAGGGAGAGGCGACGGCGGGAAGTGGGGAGAGGCGACCGCGGGGAGGAGGGAGAGGCGACGGCGGGGAGTGGGGAGAGGCGACCGCGGGGAGGAGGGAGAGGCGACGGCGGGGAGCGGGGAGACGCGACCGCGGGGAGGAGGGAGAGGCGACGGCGGGGATTGGGGAGAGGCGACCGCGGGGAGGAGGGAGAGGCGACGGCGGGGAGTGGGGAGAGGCGACCGCGGGGAGGAGGGAGAGGCGACGGCGGGGAGTGGGGAGAGGCGACCGCGGGGAGGAGGGAGAGGCGACGGCGGGGAGTGGGGAGAGGCGACCGCGGGGAGGAGGGAGAGGCGACGGCGAGGAGGAGGGAGACGCGACGGCGGGGAGGAAGGAGCGGCGACGCCGGGGAGGAGGGAGAGGCGACGGCGGGGAGGAGGGAAAGGCGACTCGGCGGGGAGGAGTGAGAGGCGACGGCGGGGAGGAGGGAGAGGCGACGGCGATGAGGAGTGAGAGGCGACGGCGGGGAGAGAAGATGGCGGGGTGGGAGCGAGAGAGACAGCTGGGTGGGAGAAAAACTGGAGAAATTGGGGTGGGGGAGAGGAAAAGGAGGAAGAGCAGAGCTAGTGCTTGTCGAGAGGAACGAAGAACAAGAATCAAGAAAAGGCAGCGCAGAAAGAATCTGCCAGCGCAGTACAGAACAAAGGCATCTGGCTCTACGCCACCCAACTCTATTCAACTAGCTGACACATCAGATACACTACAAACGCCTAACACGCTATAGTAACCTGATTGAACATTAGAGTAAGTAGTTGGCGAAAACAATTCATGTTTACTACAATCACAAAAAGAACATCAATGTCCAAAAAAATCATAATAAATAACACTCAAAACAATCTTTAAGGAAGAAAGATATATAGAAAATTTTGAAGGAACTGTCTGTTTTACGTAAGATTGAAAAAACTTAATAAAATACTTCTATAACCAAAATATAGTTATAATTTACTCTATAACAAAGTTTCTTATTCACGGAACACAGCTCTACGCAACCCGTTCGACGTAAACGTCGAGTCTTGTTCGTGTTAGATTCGCCATTATAGCAGAAGAATCAATACACGAGAGATTTAGAATCTCGCGTTTGGCAGTCAGATTGATCCTAGTACAAGGAGTAGTACTACCAGTAGAACGGCTAAGTATTGTTATTCTCAAGTGGAAGAAGCTCAATCCCACGCCTTACAACGCGCACACGCAACGGCTCACGAGCACGCAACGAAAGCTCCACCATACCACTCCGTCACCAGCTTGCACCATCATGTTGAACTCACTGCTGCTTGCCGTACCATCCCCGCCTTAATCCCTCTACCCGCTCCCGCCTCTCCCCTTGGCATGGCATGCTGCATGGCATGGTTGGATGGCATGGGTAGAATGGTATGATGGGTGACATGAATGTATTTCAGTGGAGGCTTTGGAGAATATAGCACGCGAATGGAACGAGGTGAACGGTACGAGCACATGGAAGAGGGGCGTGGATTGTGGCAGCATGGATGCCGTGGAGTGTGATGGCGATGGGCATGTCATTGCACTGTAAGCATGTCATTGCACTGTAAGCATGTCATTGCCCTGTAAGCATGTCATTGCACTGTAAGCATGTCATTGCACTGTAAGCATGTCATTGAACTGTAAGCATGTCATTGCACTGTAAGCATGTCATTGCACTATAAGCATGTCATTGCACTGTAAGCATGTCATTGCACTGTAAGCATGTCATTGCACTGTAAGCATGCCATTGCTCTGTAAGCATGTCATTGCACTGTAAGCATGTCATTGCACTGTAAGCATGCCATTGCTCTGTAAGCATGTCATTGCACTGTAAGCATGTCATTGCCTTGTAAGCATGTCATTGCACTGTAAGCATGTCATTGCATTGTAACCATGTCATTGCACTGTAAGCATGTCATTGCCCTGTAAGCATGTCATTGCACTGTAAGCATGTCATTGCACTGTAAGCATGTCATTGCACTGTAACCATGTTATTGCACTGTAAGCATGTCATTGCACTGTAACCATGTCATTGCACTGTAAGCATGTCACTGCACTGTAAGCATGTCGTTGCACTGTAAGCATGTCGTTGCACTGTAAGCATTTCATTGCACTGTAAGCATGTCATTGCACTGTAAGCATGTCATTGCACTGTAAGCATGTCATTGCACTGTAAGCATGTCATTGCACTGTAAGCATGTGATTGCACTGTAAGCATGTCATTGCACTGTAAGCATGTCATTGCACTGTAAGCATGTCATTGCACTGTAAGCATGTCATTGCACTGTAAGCATGTCATTGCACTGTAAGCATGTCATTGCACTGTAAGCATGTCATTGAACTGTAAGCATGTCATTGTACTGTAAGCATGTCATTGCACTGTAAGCATGTCATTGCACTGTAAGCATGTCATTGCACTGTAAGCATGTCATTGCACTGTAAGCATGCCATTGCTCTGTAAGCATGTCATTGCACTGTAAGCATGTCATTGCACTGTAAGCATATCATTGCACTGTAAGCATGTCATTGCACTGTAAGCATATCATTGCATTGTAAGCATGTCATTGCACTGTAAGCATGTCATTGCACTGTAAGCATGTCATTGCACTGTAAGCATGTCATTGCACTGTAAGCATGTCATTGCATTGTAACCATGTCATTGCACTGTAAGCATGTCATTGCCCTGTAAGCATGTCATTGCACTGTAAGCATGTCATTGCACTGTAAGCATGTCATTGCACTGTAACCCTGTCATTGCACTGTAAGCATGTCATTGCACTGTAACCATGTCATTGCACTGTAAGCAAGTCACTGCACTGTAAGCATGTCGTTGCACTGTAAGCATGTCGTTGCACTGTAAGCATTTCATTGCACTGTAAGCGTGTCATTGCACTATAAGCATGTCATTGCACTGTAAGCATGTCATTGCACTGTAAGCATGTCATTGAACTGTAAGCATGTCATTGCACTGTAAACATGTCATTGCACTGTAAGCATGTCATTGCACTGTAAGCATGTCATTGCACTGTAAGCATGTCATTGCACTGTAAGCATGTCATTGCACTGTAAGCATGTCATTGCACTGTAAGCATGCCATTGCTCTGTAAGCATGTCATTGCACTGTAAGCATGTCATTGCACTGTAAGCATGTCATTGCACTGTAAGCATGTCATTGCACTGTAAGCATGTCATTGCATTGTAACCATGTCATTGCACTGTAAGCATGTCATTGCCCTGTACGCATGTCATTGCACTGTAAGCATGTCATTGCACTGTAAGCATGTCATTGCACTGTAAGCATGTCATTGCACTGTAAGCATGTCATTGCACTGTAACCATGTCATTGCACTGTAAGCATGTCACTGCACTGTAAGCATGTCGTTGCACTGTAAGCATGTCCTTGCACTGTAAGCATTTCATTGCACTGTAAGCATGTCATTGCACTGTAAGCATGTCATTGCACTGTAAGCATGTCATTGCACTGTAAGCATGTCATTGCAATGTAAGCATGTCATTGCACTGTAAGCATGTCATTGCACTGTAAGCATGTCATTGCCCTGTAAGCATGTCATTGCACTGTAAGCATGTCATTGCACTGTAAGCATGTCATTGCACTGTAAGCATGTCATTGCACTGTAAGCATGTCATTGCACTGTAAGCATGCCATTGCACTGTAAGCATGTCATTGCACTGTAAGCATGTCATTGCACTGTAAGCATGCCATTGCTCTGTAAGCATGTCATTGCACTGTAAGCATGTCATTGCACTGTAAGCATGTCATTGCACTGTAAGCATGTCATTGCACTGTAAGCATGTCATTGCACTGTAAGCATGTCATTGCACTGTAAGCATGTCAATGCACTGTAAGCATGTCATTGCACTGTAAGCATGTCATTGCACTGTAAGCATGTCATTGCACTGTAAGCATGTCATTGCACTGTAAGCATGTCATTGCACTGTAAGCATGTCATTGCACTGTAAGCATGTCATTGCACTGTAAGCATGTCATTGCACTGTAAGCATGTCATTGCACTGTAAGCATGTCATTGCACTGTAAGCATGCCATTGCTCTGTAAGCATGTCATTGCACTGTAAGCATGTCATTGCACTGTAAGCATGTCATTGCACTGTAAGCATGTCATTGCACTGTAAGCATGTCATTGCACTGTAAGCATGTCATTGCACTATAAGCATGTCATTGCACTGTAAGCATGTCATTGCACTGTAAGCATGTCATTGCACTGTAAGCATGTCATTGCACTGTAAGCATGTCATTGCACTGTAAGCATGTCATTGCACTGTAAGCATGTCATTGCACTGTAAGCATGTCATTGCACTGTAAGCATGTCATTGCACTGTAAGCATGTCATTGCACTGTAAGCATGTCATTGCACTGTAAGCATGCCATTGCTCTGTAAGCATATCATTGCACTGTAAGCATGTCATTGCACTGTAAGCATGTCATTGCACTGTAAGCATGTCATTGCACTGTAAGCATGTCATTGCACTGTAAGCATGTCATTGCACTGTAACCATGTCATTGCACTGTAAGCATGTCATTGCACTGTAAGCATGTCATTGCACTGTAACCATGTCATTGCACTGTAAGCATGTCATTGCACTGTAACCATGTCATTGCACTGTAAGCATGTCACTGCACTGTAAGCATGTCGTTGCACTGTAAGCATGTCGTTGCACTGTAAGCATTTCATTGCACTGTAAGCATGTCATTGCACTGTAAGCATGTCATTGCACTGTAAGCATGTCATTGCACTGTAAGCATGTCATTGCACTGTAAGCATGTCATTGCACTGTAAGCATGTCATTGCACTGTAAGCATGTCAATGCACTGTAAGCATGTCATTGCACTGTAAGCATGTCATTGCACTGTAAGCATGTCATTGCACTGTAAGCATGTCATTGCACTGTAAGCATGTCATTGCACTGTAAGCATGTCATTGCACTGTAAGCATGTCATTGCACTGTAAGCATGTCATTGCACTGTAAGCATGTCATTGCACTGTAAGCATGTCATTGCACTGTAAGCATGCCATTGCTCTGTAAGCATGTCATTGCACTGTAAGCATGTCATTGCACTGTAAGCATGTCATTGCACTGTAAGCATGTCATTGCACTGTAAGCATGTCATTGCACTGTAAGCATGTCATTGCACTGTAAGCATGTCATTGCACTGTAAGCATGTCATTGCACTGTAAGCATGTCATTGCACTGTAAGCATGTCATTGCACTGTAAGCATGTCATTGCACTGTAAGCATGTCATTGCACTGTAAGCATGCCATTGCTCTGTAAGCATATCATTGCACTGTAAGCATGTCATTGCACTGTAAGCATGTCATTGCACTGTAAGCATGTCATTGCACTGTAAGCATGTCATTGCACTGTAAGCATGTCATTGCACTGTAACCATGTCATTGCACTGTAAGCATGTCATTGCACTGTAAGCATGTCATTGCACTGTAACCATGTCATTGCACTGTAAGCATGTCATTGCACTGTAACCATGTCATTGCACTGTAAGCATGTCACTGCACTGTAAGCATGTCGTTGCACTGTAAGCATGTCGTTGCACTGTAAGCATTTCATTGCACTGTAAGCATGTCATTGCACTGTAAGCATGTCATTGCACTGTAAGCATGTCATTGCACTGTAAGCATGTCATTGCACTGTAAGCATGTCATTGCACTGTAAGCATGTCATTGCACTGTAAGCATGTCATTGCACTGTAAGCATGTCATTGCACTGTAAGCATGTCATTGCACTGTAAGCATGCCATTGCACTGTAAGCATGTCATTGCACTGTAAGCATGCCATTGCACTGTAAGCATGTCATTTCACTGTAAGCATGTCATTGCACTGTAAGCATGTCACTGCACTGTAACCATGTCATTGCACTGTAAGCATGTCATTGCACTGTAACCATGTCATTGCACTGTAAGCATGTCACTGCACTGTAAGCATGTCGTTGCACTGTAAGCATGTCGTTGCACTGTAAGCATTTCATTGCACTGTAAGCATGTCATTGCACTGTAAGCATGTCATTGCACTGTAAGCATGTCATTGCACTGTAAGCATGTCATTGCACTGTAAGCATGTCATTGCACTGTAAGCATGTCATTGCACTGTAAGCATGTCATTGCACTGTAAGCATGTCATTGCACTGTAAGCATGTCATTGCACTGTAAGCATGTCATTGCACTGTAAGCATGCCATTGCACTGTAAGCATGTCATTGCACTGTAAGCATGCCATTGCACTGTAAGCATGTCATTGCACTGTAAGCATGCCATTGCACTGTAAGCATGTCATTGCACTGTAACCATGTCATTGCACTGTAAGCATGTCACTGCACTGTAAGCATGTCGTTGCACTGTAAGCATGTCATTGCACTGTAAGCATGTCATTGCACTGTAAGCATGTCATTGCACTGTAAGCATGTCATTGCACTGTAAGCATGTCATTGCACTGTAAGCATGTCATTGCACTGTAAGCATGTCATTGCACTGTAAGCATGTCATTGCACTGTAAGCATGTCATTGCACTGTAAGCATGTCATTGCACTGTAAGCATGTCATTGCACTGTAAGCATGTCATTGCACTGTAAGCATGTCATTGCACTGTAAGCATGTCATTGCACTGTAAGCATGCCATTGCACTGTAAGCATGCCATTGCACTGTAAGCATGCCATTGCACTGTAAGCATGCCATTGCTCTGTAAGCATGTCATTGCTCTGTAAGCATGTCATTGCACTGTAAGCATGTCATTGCACTGTAAGCATGTCATTGCACTGTAAGCATGTCATTGCACTGTAAGCATGTCATTGCACTGTAAGCATGTCATTGCACTGTAAGCATGTCATTGCACTGTAAGCATGTCATTGCACTGTAAGCATGTCATTGCACTGTAAGCATGCCATTGCACTGTAAGCATGTCATTGCACTGTAAGCATGCCATTGCACTGTAAGCATGCCATTGCTCTGTAAGCATGCCATTGCACTGTAAGCATGCCATTGCTCTGTAAGCATGCCATTGCACTGTAAGCATGTCATTGCTTTGTAAGTAGGGTTGAGCATCTGGGCGAACCGGGCTGAAAATTTAGGTTGCATTTTCTTCAAATTATATCTGCACTGCTCCCATCCATCCTCCACTTCAGTTTCCCACTTGAACTGCTTGAAATCATTATTACCCTCCCTGCCTTCCACCTGCAATGCCTCCCCTTCCCCTCTCCGACCCTTCTCCTTTCCGCCCATCCACTATTCACCCTCTCTGCCCATCCCCGCTCCTTCCCCTCTCCGCCGTCCCCCCTCCCTCGCAATGCTCCAGGAGGCTCAGCTACACCAGTCTCTCAGGCTCCATTCCAGAGGCAATCAGCAGCCTCAAGCAGCTAAGGGAGTTGAGAGTGGTGATGAGGAAGCCATGGAAGGTGCTGTGGGATGATCAGGTGTGGCCTGATAGGTCCCCTCAGTGACGTGTGGGTGAAAGTGTGAGTGAGTGAGTGAGGGGATGAGAGGGTGGGTGCCTGAGTGAGTGAATGAATGGGTGAGTGAAAAAAGTGTAGGCATCCCTATGGGGTAATGGCCTCGCCTTCCGTCCCCATCCCATCCCATCCCATCCCATCCCATCCCATCCCATCCCATACCATACCATACCATACCATACCATACCATACCATACCATACCATACCATACCATACCATCCCATTCCATCCCATCCCATCTCATCCCATCCCATTCCACACCATACCATATCGCACCTTCCCATCCCACCCCATGGCAGGAACCTCCAAGGCAACAAGCTGAGTGGCACCATTCCCGCCTGCATTGCCCACCTCACCGCACTCACCAGCCTGTGCGCCCATTCTCCCCCCACTCCACCCGCCTCTCCGTCACTTCTTTCCGCCTGCCTTTCTCTGCCAAGCGTTGGGGGTCCGAGAGGGTGAATAGGAAGATCATCGGAATTGGAGGACGAGGGGGAAGAAGAAGGCAATGTATAGGAGAGTACCAAGGCGAGTAGAGAAGAACTCGACCCAGATTTTCTACACTCGGGCCGGGCTCGATTCGGTACTGTCCTTTATAGGCTAGTTCTTTTCAAAACTCTGCCGAGTTGAAAGAAAGAAAGAAAGAAAAAAACTCGTAACGAGTCAAGTCAAGTTTAACTCGCCGTGTGACCGCTGTTGCCCAGCCAGGGTCTGTAGCAACTCATGACTTAAGAGTCATGCACGCCCACACGAGTCATGCACGCCTTCTCACCTTCTGTCCTCGTCCATTTATCCACGCACCTTCAGGAGACTCAGCAACAACCGCCTTGCAGGGACGATACCTGCTGCCATCACCACGCTCACGAATCTCGTATTCCTGTCAGTTAGTTTTACCCCCTCTGCTGTCACAACACTCAAGTGTCTGCTCAAGTGTTTGACTACTTCTTGTTGAACAACATGTCAGTGTTACCTGCTCTGTCGACTCAAAAGAATGTCTGCTGAGTCACCTCTGGTTGAGGGTTTTTAAACGCAACCAGCTGCAGTCACCGTGAGCAATCATCTCTGGATGGCTATTCTTTGCTATGAAACGCTACCCCTGCTCCTCGCATCACCTCGCCTTCACCTTGATTTCTGCTACCCACCCATCTCTTCCTTTTTGCTTGCTGAAGGCCACACCTTGAAGGGTCTGTCTGAAAGAGTACCACTTACTCTCCACTTCCTTCTCAAGTTGACCATTGGTCATGTCGACCCAAAAGGAGTTGACTTTTAAGTAGACTCAAAAGTTGACTTTTGAGTCGACTCGAAAGTCAACTCTCCCCTTCCTTCTTGAGTTAAGCATTGTTCATGTCGACCCAGAAGGCCTTTCACAGTCATTTCTTTTACTCATGTATTGATGCGCTTGGATTATTTCCTCCAGAAGGCCTTTATACTACCCAGCACAATTCCATTCTATCAGTCTAATCCTATTCTGCCTATCCAGTCACATTCTGCCTACACTTGAGACAAAAAGAGGAATCGAAGGCTAAGCGTGTCAGCGCTGACGATACGTCAATTGGAATCGATGACTCACAAGCCCCTTACAACCAGCATCGACATGCTATCCCATTCAGCACGCACATGCTTCTCCTGTCCCTTCACTCCCTTTTCCACAACTGTTTTCCACCTCTTCCCTTCCTGCCTTCCCCTTGCATCGCAGCCACCTGTATGACAACCAGTTGTCAGGAGAGCTGCCCTCCTTCCGTGACATGCCCCATATCGTCGAGGTGTCCACGCGCAACAACTACCTCACAGCCACAGCAGACGCCAACCCCCTTCCAGGCTCAGTCGCAGACTACCCTTACGATCACCACATCATGTGTCTGCTACACCACAACTTCCTTGAAGACAACTCCAATTTCTGCCTCCCTGGACAGGACCAGAGGAGAGCCAGCGAGTGCCGGGCGTTCTGTGGGGCGCAGCCGCTCACCCCGCCGTGCAGCGGCCATGGCGTGTGCTCCTTCGAGCCTGATCGTTCCGAACCCCCGTCTGTTGAACCCAAGGGCCAGTGCGTCTGTGATGAGGGGTACACGCCAGGGCCGAAGGCTGGCACGTGCATCTCCCACGGTATGCCTGCTGACCAATGCATGACTTGTTGATGACTTGTTCCTTTTCACTTTCCTTTCAGCCACAAGCCCGTCCCAGCTGCATCTTGTCTTCCAAAGCCTGCTTGCCAACATGCTTGCTCACAAAAGGCTCACAGATCTAAGGAACGGTGCCAGTGCGGGGTGGCCGGTGGGGGAGTGGCTTTTGAGTCGACTCAAAAGTCAGCCTGCCTGCTCACAAAGGCTCACTAAGGCTCACAGATCAGAGGAACGGTGCCAGTGCGGGCAGTGGGGGAGTAGCAGTGCCATGCCACCACTCCCATCCATGTGAACCCACACATTCGTGCTCGGAAGTCTGGCTTGGTCGCTTCCACCCCACTGCTCACAAGGAGTCAGCATCTTGCGTGCTTGTGCTGCTGCGCACCTGTTCTCCCTTCACTTCACGTTCTCCCATACCTTCTCCGCCACAGTTCCCTTACCTGAGGACGAGTCGAGGCTCAACAAACACTTGCTCATACGCTTCTGTCACATGCCTATTCACATCCGCTTGTCTGGAACATCCTTCTGATGTGCTTCATGTGCCATGCACCACACAACAGGGTGTTTTTGAGAATTCTCAAAAACACCCTGCAGCATGATGTGCTTCATGTGCCACGCACCACGCAACCCACGACACTCACTCTCTTGTACCAATGCCCCCCATGCACCGCATTCCACACCTCCCTGTGCCCCCCCCCACGGCCTCCCCCCTGACTATAGGTGGCACTGAGGGGGCTAGAGGTGTGGCTGCAGCCACGGCCACCCCCAGGGCTGCAGTGGCTTTGTCTGATCTTCTTGCGCCTCACGATCTGCTCATGCTGCAGCTGCTTCTTCCACTAGCAGTGCTGCTTCTGCTGGCCTTGACACAGTTTCTGAGGCGCCTAAAGAGTCGACCCCCCACACGCTATTTCTTTTCAAAGAGAGCCCTTGCTGTCCGGCAAGCTGCTTGCTAGTGCCCAGAGCTTACGATTACATGGGATGGGACGGTGTGACCTTAAATTTGACATTTGAGTCGACTCAAAAGTCAACTAGTGCCCAGAGCTCATGATTACATGGGATGGGACTGAAGGTGTTACCTTGAAGTTGACTTATAAGTCGACTCAAAAGTCAACTGGTGCCCAGGGCTCATGATTACATGGGAATGAATGTGTGACCTTACACTACGCATATGATTCCAGTTTTATTTCTGTCATTGAAGTATACTCTATATTAATTCCCCCATGCGCTTGTTTTCAAGCACAAACGTTCCAGAAATCATGGCTTGCTGAAGTTCCCCCAAACTTTGCTACACCTCACGCAAACAAAATATGCAGATGCAATGCTCACATCTAGGCGCTCCTTGTATCGAGTCACGCTCGCCACTGCACCGCGCGATCATCGCGACCATCGCAATCCGAGAAAATGCGAGCACGATTTTTTTGAAAATGTGTTCAGTTTCAACTTTCACCTAGCACAGGGATCCACCATGTCTGCAGCAGCAGCGTGGGAGCGCACCATTCTGATTGCCCCAAACCTCACTCCTTTTGCCCCCCTGTCCGCTCGCGCGCTTTTACCTCGTCACCGCGCTTCTCTTACGGGCTCGCTGTATCGCATCGCTTGGAATTGGCGCCCCGAGATTCTGGGTTCAACCGTTGCGATTTCCCGGCGGCAGCGGCACGGTCGGCGCGGAAGACGGGGAGACGATCAAAGTTCGTATCCGCTCGTGGTTTGCTCCACACGGCGCAGCGATGCGCAGAGCGGCGACGAGGTAGTAGAAAGCGCGGGCGCGCAGCGGCAGGGGGCGGGGGATGCGGAGGGGGCGGGGGATGCGGAGGGGGAGGGGGATGGGGAGGGGGAATCAGGCGTGCAGTGGGTGGAGGAGCGCGGGTTGCGCCTGCAGGTGCAGGGGTCGTTCTACCGCCGCGAGAGCGCCGTCGGGCGCGACTTGGCCACTCTCGTCGCGTGGCGGGATGCGCGCTCGCGGAGCGCAGCGGAAGAGCAGCAGCACGCGGAAGGCCAGGCGGAAGAGGGTGCGGTGGAGGAGGCGGTCGCAGGAATTGAGAGAAGCGCGCAAAGGGAAAGGAGCGGTCGGAGAGGCGCAGAGGCGGAAGGTGCAGGGCGGGGGATGAAGGAGCAGCAGCGGCGACGGCGGCGGCGGCGGGGGTTTCGGGTTTTGGACGTGCTGAGCGGGAGCGGCGTGCGCGGAGCGCGGTATTTGTCGCAGGGCGGCGCGACGTTCGTGTGGTGCAACGACGCGTCCGTCGACACACACGCCGCGCTCGTCGCCAACCTGCAAGCCGTCTCTGGCGCCGCCGCTGATGACGCCGCTGGCGCCGCTGCTGACGTGGATGCTGCTACATCCGTCGACGCTCGCCCCGGGAAGAAGGAGGCAGAGGTGGTTGCGGAAGGAGACGTGGAGGGGGAGGAAGAGGCGGAGGAGGACGAGGGCGACCGGCGGTGGCGGAAGGCGCGCGAGAGCAAGTCGGGGAGGGAGACGAGCAGGTGGCGGGTGACGCACGAGGACGGGCTCCGCGTGCTCCACCGCTGCTACGAGGTCCTTCCGCGCCCTGCGCCTCTCTGCGCCTCTCTGCGCCGCACTCCCTTACCGGCTCCTCTCCTCGCTCCCCTTCCCGCTCCCCTCCCGGCTCCCCTCCCCACTCCCCTCCCCGCTCCCCTCCCCGCTCCCCTCGCCGTCCCCTTTCCCTCTCCCTTCTTCAGAACCATTTTTACAGCAGCACACCCGTTCCACCTCCCCTCCTTCCCTCTATCTCCACCCCGTTCTCCTTCGACGGGCGTTCTGCTTCGACATGGTGGGCGTGGACGCGTTTCACGCCTTTCCACCGCGTTTGACACACGCTTGCTTCATCAGGCCTTCCCATCTTCCCCCTCTTTCCCCCCCATCCCTCTCCTCTCCTCCCCCCTCCCTCCCCCCCTGCCAGCAACGGCAATTCTTCGACCTAGTGGACGTGGATGCGTTTGGCAGCGACACGCGGTTCATAGGCCCGGCGCTGGCAGCCACGGCCAGGGGAGGGCTGCTCTACCTCACCGCCACTGACGGCTTCTCCTCCGCCGGCCACGCTCCCTTCCGGTCCCTGCCTTGCCCTGCCCTGCCCTCCCTGCCCTGTCTTATGCTGCCTTGCTGCTGGGGTGGGGTGGACCTGTTGCGTGCTTGGGTGTGCCTTGCTTGCTGCATGCAATGCTGGGGTGTGCGGGGCTGCTCTTCCTCACCGCCGTCGATGGCTTCTCCTCCGCTGGCCACGCTCCCTTCCGGTCCCCGCCCTGCCCTGCCCTGCCCTGCCCTGCCCTGCCCTGCCCTGCCCTGCCCTGCCCTGCCCTGCCCTGCCCTGCCCTGCCCTGCCCTGCCCTGCCCTGCCCTGCCCTGCCCTGCCCTGCCCTGCCCTGCCCTGCCCTGCCCTGCCCTGCCCTGCCCTGCCCTGCCCTGCCCTGCCCTGCTCTGCGTGGGCTTGCCATGCACTGCCGGGGTTTGGCCTGCCCTGCCGTGCCCTGTCCTCTATTCTCCCCTCCCCTTGCTCTTTGTCCTAACTCTCTCTCCCACACATAGCCCTCTCACTCATCCACGCATTACTCTCGCACTCACATTCGTCCTCACCTTATCCTTCACCCTCCATCCCTATCCCCCCGTGTGCACTCTCCTCTCCCCTGCAGCGCACTGGCAGCATACGGCACATACATGCGCCCTTTGCCCTTCTGCAACGAGCTGGGGTTGCGCATGCTTCCTTCTCCCTCCTCAACAACCGTCCCACACGTCCCTCCCACGCCTCCCTTTCCCCCCCTCTCCAGCGCACTGGCAGCATACGGCACGTACATGCGCCCTCTGCCCTTCTGCAACGAGCTGGGGCTGCGCATGCTGCTGGGGGCAGCCGTGCGTGAAGCAGCCTCGCGCAAGCTGACAGTGGCCCCCGTGTTCTCCCTCTACGCGCCCCACGGGCCTGTCTTCCGCGCTCTCGTGCGCGTGCACCCCGCGTCGCCGCACCAGCAGTGGCAGGGCGAGTGAGTGCAGGCTGGGAGAGAGGGCGGAAGGGATGGGAGAGGAGGGGAGGGAAGGGAGGGGAGAGAGGGGAGAAGGGGGAGAGGGGTAACGGGGAGTGCTGAGAGCCTGTGTGGGTTTGGTAAGCGTCTCTGTCCCTATGCCATCACCCATGTGTGTCGCGCGTTGCGTTTTGCCGGTCTGCATTTTCCAACTCCAACCCTTTTCCCTCCTCCATCCATCCTCCCTCCTCCCTCTTCCCTCTTTGCGACCACGAGCAGGAACTATGGATTCATCGCGCATTGCCATTCCTGTGGGCACTCCAAGGTGCTGGCATGGGATGCGCTCGGCTGTGCTCTCTGCAACTGCCTGCAGAGAAAGGGTCATGTAACGCATGCTTCTGCTGCTGCTGCTGCTGCCTCCACGTCTCCCAATTCTCTCTCCTCGTTATCCCCCCCTTCCTTCGAGAATCCCTCTATGGAAACAAGCTCTTCTCCCTCCCAGCAGCAGCAGCAGCAGCAGCAGCAAGTGTCAGGTGGCATGGATGATCATCAAATGCTCAGTCAAATGGGCCTCCGGGTGCGTCCACTCACAGCCCCCCTCTGATCTGCACTTCGTCTGCCTTGGCTACCCTCCTTCCACCCAACCCGCATCATCCCTCCCTCCTCATATTCCCTCATGCCCCATCGCCGATCGCCCCACACACTCTGACCTCGTGTCCTCTCTCTTTCCCACTCGGTTATCTATCTTTCCTATAACCACCGTACCTCTGTATTCCCTCTCCATATCCTACCTTCTCCCATTCGCTTCTGCTTAACCTCTTCATCCTCCCCCCCACGTCCACTACCATCTGCTTTACCACTCCATCCCTCTGGCAGCGCATGGTGGTGGTGGGGCCGCTGTGGGTGGGCCCCCTGCACGACCCAATGGAATTGCGCCACGTGGCAGAGGATGCGCGGGTGAGAGGGTGGAAGGCAGCAGGGCGGGTGCTGGAGGTGATGCAGGAGGAGGCACAGGAGGGATTGCCTCCGTGGTTCTTTAAGATGGATCATGTGAGTGCCGCGTGACTTTCGAGACGTTTTTAAAGCTGCCTCCGTGGGTTGGATCATGTGGGTGCTGCATGGATGGTGCCGTTCGTGCGTCCATGGTGTGTGCTTCTTTTGCCCAGTGGTGTGCAAGCGTGTCTTCACTGTGTGTTTTTATTTGAACAGGTTTCGAAGCTTGCTGGCGTACCCACGCCTCCACGTTCAGAGCTTATGAGGCTGCTGAAGGAGGTATGTTTCTGCATGGCCCACACAACCTATGTCTTTGCTTCTGATGCATGCTGCTGCTGTGGACTGGCGTGTTCTTTTTCGCTTTCTTATATGTTGTTTGTCCTTGTTTACTTTCCAGCGCGGTTTCGTGGTTTCGCGGTCGCATGTGGAGGTCACAGCCATCAAGACTGATTGTCCATTAGAGGAAGTTGTAAAATTAGCACGGCAACTGGTTAATGTAAAATGTACGGTACTTGAATGACTAATTGCACTGTATCTGTAACTTCTGCGACGTCTCTCAACGACCATCACAGAGATCTCTGTTCAAGTGGGGAGCGAAGTCCAGAGTGTGTGATTTCGCTGTATGGCGGGAAATACACGTCAGCAATCAGAAAAATGTCCCACAGTACTGGCAGCTAAAATCTAACCAACCCCTCTCAAACACGTGGTAACAGCTTCGGAAATCTTCGGCCCGAAGCTGAAACTTGACCAATCGCGCTCCAATCTTTCAACCACTTGCTCCAAAGTGTGTGGCTCACACCAGACCTCCGAACCATGCAGCATGCCTTGGGCCCGCGCGTTCAAGCCCACGGGTGCTGCAGTCAGTTGTGCCGGGAGGGAGTGTTGGATTTAGATAGTCTTGAAAAACGTTCGTCATTTGAGTCTTACACCTGAAAAATCTATCACTGTGTTTTTACAGGGTCGTTCTTTCCAAGCGAACCGACGATAGATGTCTCGGAGGCAGATCGCACATACATGTTTCTTCCTTCACTGGGCCTTTCACCGAAATATTTCACAACCGCCGTTTGGTTGGTTGGCCCCTCCCACCAGCCAAGTTCCCTCCCTGCAGCAAATCCGACGATCACAAATTTCGTGCCGAAGATGTTGACTGAAGGCAGGTGACGAAGGCAGGGTGCAGACAGATTAAGGGCGTGTTACATTTTCGAATTTTCCGTACGGTCCGGACATTCACCACTCTGAAACAAACTGAAACCCACTTGAACAAAGCGTTTAACAAATAAACCGATTTCAACCGTTCAGACGGTCCGGTCCGTTTGGAAAAAAATCGAAAATGTAACACGCCCTAAAAAAGTCTGGTGTAGTGTCTGATAATCTGTTGGCCACGATTTCCTCCACCTGTCTAGAAACTGAACTTTCGTATGGGTTACAGAATTCCACAACTTCAACTCGTTCTGCAGAACTACGTCTACAGTTTACAGCAGCACAGAGCCTTGCAGAAACTGTACACTACCTGAAAAAACAAAATCTTTCGGGCATTGCACCTCTCCCAGACCACCCTCTCTTCCCAAACGCCGCCGTTTCCCTTCCCCGCGTTCTCTGTTGTCATCCGCCTGGCCTTGCCTTGCCTTGGCCAAACCAGATCCTTCCTCCTTCCTGTTCCCGTGCCTCACGTGACTCACGAGCCACGAGTCACGACTCCTCACCAGTCACGACCAGGCCTGTCGAAGTTCCTGGGGCTCGTACTTGCGCTCCCCAGCTCCTCCCAATCTGACCCTTGGTTGGGGGTAGGTGAGCGTTTTGGCGCCCTTAAAACCAGGGTGCACATTCAACGCGGTTCGGCTTGAGATGTTGGGAAGGGGGTTTGGAGAAAAACAGTGATTGGCTCACGAGGGGCGACAAAAAAATGATTCCGCTAGAGCTTCGGGCATTTCGTAGGTGGCGGGAGGGGGTGAAATGGCGGGAGTGGGTGAAACCGAATGGCGGGAGGGATGAAGCAGATTGGCGGGAGGGGGGGGAAACGAAATTGCGGGGGAGGGGGGAAACAAAATTGCGGGGGAGGGGGGAAACGAATTTCGACTTGAAGGGGTTGAAAGCACACCTCGTAACCCACTCAGTCAAGGGTTAACCTTTGATGCACATTCAGCTGAATGTGCACCCCGGTTTTAAGGGTCACGGGCGCACCCCAAAGTCAGAACTTGAAATCAGGGCATGTTTGAAGTTTGCACTTACACTTCATTTTACTATGATAAGTGCTGTTATGTACTTAAATTAGAAGTCAAAGACACCTAACACTACACATGTCTTAAATAGTCATAAAACCTACCTAGCCTGCAAAGTTCTTATTCTCTACACTAACTACAGATATGGCATGCAGAGATCAGCTACTCTACTCTAACCCGACATCCAATGCGAGCCTAGTTGGCAGGCTTCCTCCCCTTCCTCCCCTTATCCTCAAACAAGGCATAGGCCGCTGCCCAGTCCACCGGGTAGTCTAGCATCTTCACCGTCATCAGCTCCCCCAGCCTAACATCAGTAAGAGCAACACGATCCCACGACTTAATAATGTTTTGGCGGGAGAAGCCCCTCTCACACTCAACAGTGCTGAGGGGCAACACAGAGACCGCACGCCAGAGAGAGACTATGGTGGGATAGTCATCCTTCCAGTCTGCAGTGCGCAGCATGTTGGTGAGAGCCTGATGGAAGCTCTGCTTCTTGAACTTCTTCTCCATGGTGGTTGTGAAGAGGCGCATCTGCGGCTCTATGTCAGCAAGAGCGACTCCTGCCAAGGACATATACAAAGTTAGATTACGTCATTGTGTGAGCATAATACGTACAAAGTTAGAACATACGTGGGTTCCTTTCATACTAATCTAGGCTTACCAGGTAGCTGGTTCTTGAACATGTCCAGGAGCTCGGTGAGATGGTGCTGCAGCCATGTGTCCTGCTCTCCTGCACGGAAGGGATACTTATCAGGGGTGAAAAACCCAACACCATCGAAATGGCGCAGGTCCGCCATCCTCTTCCCCAGCGCCTTAATCAGGCGCTGAGCGAAACGCCGCGCCAGGTCTACGCAGGCCTCCAAGTCGCACCCCCCCCCGGGTTTTCAGGGTCGATGATGTCCTCGTGGAGCTCGATCTCGGCTTTTGCAGGTTTGCCGTCGCCACCCACTCCCTTGAGCTCCATCTTGCGCTTGTCCTTGCTGCCGTGTGCAGCAAGGAACTTGTTCAGGCGAGAGGTGTTCGGCCCGTAGGATGCGCTGGGCTCGACGTAGTACTGCGACAGCTTGGTCTTCACCTTGTCGACGTGATTCTTCACCTCTGTGATGTCGACCTGAAATCAAACGGAGCGGGAAAACATTAGAACCAAGCACTTAAGAGAAGAAGCGCCTAGTACATGTTCATGTCAATCTTACCGTCTGCTTCTGGAAGGCAAGATTGAGTCCGTTGAGCAGCTGCAGCACGTCAGCCAGGAGGTAAAGCATGTAGTGGAACTTGAAGCTGGTAGCGAGTTTCTCCATCCCGTCCTTCTCCTTCGTCCACATCCACATCAGCACCGGCAGCACGTCGCAGAAGCGATTCACAGCATCTCCGCGAGACAGCCAACGGACGGTGCAGAAGCCTTGCACCTCCAGGTGCGTCTTCAGAATGACGTCCTGGAGATGCATGTAGGTCTTGTGATCGGTCGATGAACGCCCGAGACGCTCGGCAGTCTGGCGTATCATCTGGTCGACGACGTTGAACTCCTTGAAGCTCTTCGCGACATCCTTTGCAGCCAATGCCTCGCTGCACAAGCACGACAGGTTCGTGAGTACGTATGGCGACGGTAATAAGATAACATGACATTGCAGTGCAACCTTATTGATGCGCCACGCAGTGAATCGCCACCAGCCACGGGCAACGTTTCCGAAGCAGGGCGACAACTCCGTTCTTCGAGCCAGTCATGACGGATGCACCATCCGTTGAAACCCCGACAAGCTTGTCCATCGACATGTCCTTCGACCACAGGCACTTCACGATCGTGTCGTACAGTGCAGCGGCGTCGCAACGCTCGAGCGACAGGAGAGCAAGAAACTGGGACACCACGGCCTCGCCTCTCTCAAACGTGACATACACGATGAGGTGCTTTCCGCGGGCGCGATCCGTGGATTCATCGAAGGAGAGGCTGTACCAGGCCGACTCTTTGACGTCCACGAGCTGCCTGGCCACCAGATGCTCCGCCATAGCCTCTACGAACTCGCCGAAGGCGTATCTGCAATGAGCACCAAATGTACGTTACTCACAGTATAACACAAGCACAAGTACGAAAATACAGAGGCAACGAAGAGAAGAAACAGCAGGACATTAGGTGCAGAACCAGAGGGTAACAAACACTTACCGCGAGTAATAACGCCCGTAGGATTCGCTGTTCATCATGTCGGGGCATCCTTGCTCCGCCATGAACCGCACCAGCATGGGGTAGAGAGCGATCGGTGCATCGTTCTGCGCAATCCACTGAGCTGCTTGCATGCATTTGACGACCCTCGCCATGACTGGATCGCCGCTGAGCATGTTCACGAGGCTGCGCTGCCTCACCTCCGTGCCAGCAGCGAGTCGTTCTGCTTCCATGGCCGCGAGGTGCACCTTGGACTGGTCATGGTTGCGGCACGCCGACTTCTGAAAGTCCCTTGCACCGACGCCAGCACCGCCAAAGGGAGACTTGGTGTTAGGAGCGAACTTACAGCACACGGAACACTTCGTACCATACAGGCGCTCCTCTTTGTTGTACTTCAGTGTCAGCCACGAGTACGTCTGCTTCCACGACGGGCTGAAGCGACGTGCCATACCCTTCTCAGCAGCAGGGATCTCGGTGTCCGGGGGCACTTCTGCATCCTCGGCGATAGCCTTGTCCTGCGCCTCCAGCTCCTCAGCAGTGGGTGGAGGCGGTACGCTTCGTGCGCGCTTTCGCGAATCTGGTGGCGGACTTGCGAAGCTAAGGTGAACCTGACGGTAGCGGGCTGCTGACAGAGGTGTAGTCTGTGACGATGATGCTTGCTGGGCGAGGCGCGGGTCCAACACTGAGATTGCTACGTCTAGCATGTCTTCAGCATCCGAGGGTACGTAAGGCTCGGTCTCGGTCGTAGTATGAGAATGACTAACGTTCGACATGGGCAAAACTGGAGGAGGGGTTTCACCCTCGCTAGGATCCATTGTGGGAGAATGTGGCTGACGAAGCGAACGGGTTAGCTACCCATACTATAAACATCGCGTGCGTGAGCTAGGCGACGCGAGGTTTACTCGGCAGAGTGGTTGGGTGGAGGAGAAGTGCCATAGCATGGCACGTACGAGAGGGGAGGGGAGAGCTGAGGGCTTGGGTGGATGATACCGTGGAGGTGGTGGGACGGTGCGGAAGAGAAAACATGGGTGGGATGTGGTGGTGGATGGATTGCATGGTGGTGGAGAGGAATCGTGGCTCGCACGAACGAAGGTGGTGAGGGAGGGAGCTGCTGCGCTGGAGTGCTTCAGTTCCTTTGACGTGCTGTGGTTTAGTGTCTTAGATGTCTCTGTGGCCAAACAACTTAGCCAGATTTACCCAAGATAATCCCATGTGTCACAGCTGTACACTGCGGCCAGCTCGTATTGGACGCTAAGGGAATGTGCGGGTGCTCCTAGGCTGACTGAGAGACACGCTACACACACGGGATTGGCTACAAAACGCTAAGGGAAAAATCCCCTTGGCGCGCTCTAGTGCAGGCTAAGGAGAAAGAGGGGGGGGGAGGGGGGGGGGGGGGGGTCCTACGATCTGAAACCAAAACTTAGATAAAAGGGAAGGCCTGGTTTCGTCCCTTAACGCATCCGGGCAAGGGTCGAATGAAGCACTTAGTGGCACGGGTGGGGTGCGAAACAAAAACTTGACGCATTGGAGCTGGAGCGAAACTAGCCCTTAATGTTCAGGGCATTAAAACCAGGGTACACATTCAACGCGACTCCAGGCTAAATTTTGGGCGGCATGTTTGCGGGAACTGCTGATTGGTTGACGAGTAGCGAATAAATAGTTGAGAATGGGCGAGCATGGGGCTTTTCGTCCGTGAGAGATGAGGCTTGGCAGGGGAGAAATTGATAACACTTGGATCTAGAAATTGGGGATCAAGGGGAGGGCAACTGGGTTGGCGGAAAGGGGAAAGGGGGTGAGACGATATTGTGGGGGAAGGGGAAACAATTTCGGTGGGAGCGGAATAGGTATGGGGAGGGGGGAAACGAATTGGCGGAAGCACATTCGATGACTTCGGTATACATTTGCCAAATCTCGAGGGTTCAAATGTTCACCTGCTGAAGCGAACACTCCCCCCAGATATTCCTAAATCACTGAGTAACCCCGAGGTCAAAGGTTAACCTTTGACAGAAATCCAATTGAATCTGCACCCTGGTTTTAAGGGCATATGCCCGTCAATCGACAGGCCTGGTCACGACTCCTCACCAGTCACGACCACCCCTTCCCTTCGCTTCCCTCCTGAGAGTCCGTTGCACCTCTCCAACCAAACCCTCGTCAACCCTAGCTCCTTTATCAGTTCTGTAGTGCAGCTGCTGGCTCTTGTTCAGGCAAGCATATCATGTTCACCTATCCATGGCCGACGGCAAGTCCTCTTTCTGTCTCTGTGGTTTGCCTCCGACGTGCTGATCGGAAGCTGTGGTTTTTGCGTTGAGTAGCGTATACACCCACTAGAGACAGAAAATAGGCCCTGGTGGATAGGTTACGGGAAGCGGATTTGTGGTGTATCATATGCTGTTGTGTAGGGTTCTGGTTTTGTTGGAATAGCTGTCTTGCATTCTGGGTAGCGGAATGAGATGTCGGTGACAACAATGCAGAGCCATCGACACAGGCATACGGTAGAGACTCCAGGCCCGGGATCCACGATGCTCTCCGCTGCGGCCGTCTCAGACCCTGAAACCACCATTTTCAACACCACTTCGCTCTCCTCCCTGTTCGAGTCCAAACGTACGTTCGGTTGGTCCGTGTCTGTTTGGTTGCTGCTTAAATCTAAATCTGATCCGAGCGTAACGTTTGAACGTCTCACTTGTTTTCTCGCTGTTCTGTCCTTCTCCAGTCGATAACGTGCTTTTGACGAATTCGGTTTGGATCAGCTAGGCGTTGTGGTTTTTAATCGTTCGTTTGAGGTCTCGTTAGCTGGACTGTGCGATCTCGATAGGTCACGATGTTCAACGAGGCGATTTTTTAGTCGACTCATAAGTCCTCTCGAAAGTCACCTTCAGCCTCTTTTTGTTGGAACCCGTGTTTTGGATAATCCAATGGTTTAACTAACCCGTGGTTTGTAGAATATAGATGGTTAACTAATCAGTGCTTTCGTCGCGGCGTCGACTCCGTACTCCTAACAACCAGCCTGACTTTCAGCATAACGATCAACTTATCAATCCATGTAGACGTCATCCGTCCTGTTCCAGTAGTTTCACGGTGTCGAATCCCCACGACTTCAGTTCTCATGGCTCACAAGTGCCGGATTCCGGTTGGCTATTTGTTTCCGCCAGAACCACTGTTCCACCTGTTCTCATCCAAATCCGCCTTTCCTCATGCTCTTTCTCCTGGGCCCTCGTTGTCTTGATTTCACCCTCCTGTTCCCCCCAGTTGCGTTCACTGACGTTTCGGGATCATCGCCGTCGGCTCATCACATTTCCCTGGACGATGCAACAACCGTCAGCAGCAACAGCAACAGCAACAGCAACAGCAACAGCAACAGCAATAGCAGCGGCGGCGGCAGCGGCAGCGGTATCAGCGGCGGTTTCCCCGGCCTTCCCTTGCCTGCAGGAGCCTCTTTTCTTGGCGGCGGCAGCAGCAGCAATGGGAGCTCGAGCCTGTTCGGTACTCCCGGGGTTATCGGTAATAGGCGGATCTCTCCCACAGATCTGACCAGCGACTATCTCGGCGGAGGTCACTCGTGGCCGCGAAACGGTCCGGTAGGGTTACCAGCATCGCAGGGCAACAGCAGCTCGATCGTCGGCGGTGTTGGCAGTCAGGGTAACCCGATTGTGGGATTTGGCGACGGATTCAGCGGCGGATTCAACGGCGGGTTCAACGGCGGGTTCAACGGCGGATTTGGCTCCGCGTCTGGCGGTCACAGTGGCCTGAGTCACGTTGGGACGCGGGCGGGATTGGGGAGTGAAGGTATGGGGGAGAACATGGACGCGGGAGGTCTCTCCGACGTGCATGGGAGTAGCTACGCGGAAGGCTCCTCGTTCAACTCGCACGCTTCGTTTCAGCTGCCGTCGCTTGCAAGGCACCAGCAGCCGCAGCAGCCGCCGCAGCAGCAGCAGCAGCACCCAGGTCATGATCTGATAGCCCAGCAGCAGCAGCAGCAGCAGCAGCATTTGAATCTGCATCCGGGGAATCCTGTCATGCGTCCATTCATGCAGCAGCAACAAGGTACGGATCTCGCGATCCAAGGCCCGCTGATAATGGGTCTAGATCGCGACGTGCCTCGTGCTTTAGGCGATCAACTCCCGTCGCAGATTCTTCCGGACGACGAAGAAGAGCTCTTCGCAGACATCGCAGAGGAGTACGAGCGACACCTGCGATCAGAAGCCGTCGCCGCCGCCGCCGCCGCCGCCGCCACCGCCGCTGCTGCTGTCTCGAGATCCGATTCGACCGGCGCAGCCCGTCGCGCGAGCAGCGGCAGGCGCGCGGGGGGGAGCGCGGGCAGCGGAAGGGGGGAGGGGGGAGGCGCGGGGGACGATGGCGGGGAGGGGGATGGCGCGGAGGGGGACGACGCGGCGGACGATCTGTTCTGCAGCAGCGGAGGCATGGAGCTAGATCTCGACCCCGCCGACGGCATGGCGCCGCAGGGGGGGTTCCGCCGCCTGCCCCTTCCGCGCGATGCCTTTTCCGCCACTGCTGGTGCTCTTGGTGCTGCTGGAACTCGCGGGACTCCGGAAGGCGCGGTACGCCAGGGGGCGGGCGCGGGCAAGGCTGCGGCGGCGGCGGGGATAATGGCGACGACGACGGTGGCGACGTCCGCGTTCGCGGGCGCAGCGCAGGGCGCGGGGAGTGAGCATCCGCGCGGGGAGCGGCCGTCGCGGACGCTGTTCGTGCGGAACATCAACAGCAGCGTGGAGGAGGCGGAGCTGCGCGCGCTGTTTGAGGTGCGGAAGGAAATCAAACGCCTCCCTGCCATTTTCCTTCGCCTTCTTTCGCCTTCCCAGGTCGTCGTTATGCGTGTTTTCAAGGGCAGCAGCAGTGCCTAGGGATTCGTGAGGGGAAGAACCAAGATCTACATGCTCCCTTCCCTGCCATTCCCGCCTCCCGCCTCGTCTCTCTGTCTTCCCACCCTCCCCCCTACCGTTTTCTCCCCGCGTTTCAACCCGTCAACTCCTCTCTGCGTCATCCGCTTTTTGAGTCGACTCAGAAGATCACAATGCCTTCGCGTCCCCCTTCCCCTTGCCCCCTCCCCCCTTCTTCCTACCATCCCCTTCCCCCCCCCCCCCCCCTCTCCGCTCCCCCTCTCTCCCGCTCCCCCCTATTCTCCCCCCCCAGCGGCACGGGGACATCCGCACGCTGTACGCGGCGTGCAAGCAAGCACCACGCTGTGAGACGTCGACCTCTTCAAAGTCCTCTTTTCCTCCCCCCTTTTCCCCCTCCCCCCTTCCCAACCTCCCCCGTATTCCCCCCCGGCCCCCTGGCAGCGCCACGGGGACATCCGCACGCTGTACACGGCGTGCAAGCACCGCGGGTTCGTGATGGTGTCCTTCTACGACCTCCGCGCTGCGCTCGCTGCCATGGCCGCGCTACAGGGCACGCCGTTGCGCCGCCGCAACCTCGACATCCACTTCTCCATCCCCAAGGTCCGTTTTCCTCCGTCTTCCATCCGTTCCATATCCCTCCCTTGGCGTACATTTGATACCCCAACGTCCCGTGTCCATCGCTAAGGGTTCATTCAGCATCCCCAGAGCATGGCTACGCGCAGTGCGCTACAGAAGTTGCCTGAAACCTCCTCCCATGCCTGCCTGCCTGCGTACGTGTCGTTACGTGTTTGTACGCATGAATTGAAGTGTCTGTACGTATCTGTAGCTGTGAGTGCTCGTACATGTCCACACTTGTCCTCGTGTCGTGTGGCTCTTGCTGTGTGCAAGGTTCTGAAGCTGTTCGTTTATCTCTCTTCGTATCTTTCTATGCGTCTGTACGTGTCAGTTCTGCGTGTGTTTCGCTCACTCTCCCACACTCTCTCCATGCGTTGGCAATGGCTGTCGTTGCGTCTGTCTGTCTGTATGCCCGGCCGGCAGCAGGATAACCCGTCGGACAAGGACATGAATCAGGGCACGCTGCTGGTGCCCGTCGCGGCTGCATCCCCCTCCACCAGCGGCGCCACTGTCAAGGCCGCCACGACGCACCACGACTTGCTTCTCCGCATCTTCTCCGCTTACGGCGACGTCAAGGAGGTCAGCCTTCCACGTCTGTCTCTGCTTCCTGATTCACTCCGTCCCGCTCCGCCGCTCTCTTGCTCACTCACTCCACCTCCCGCCACTTTCTTGCTACACCACTCTCTCATCTCTGCAAGGCCCCCAGGCAGCAGCAGTGCAGACTGGTCGAGTTTTATGACATGGGAACGTATGCTTGAGCGTGCTCATGGGAACACCTGCTATATCTCCTCTTCCCTCCCGTCCCCCTCCTCTTTCCCGCCTCCCCGCCCCTCCCTTTCTCCCTGCCTCCCCGTCTCGCGCCCCTCACACTCCTGTGGGCAGATCCGCGAGGCTCCGGGGCAGCAGCAACAGCAGCACAGGCTGGTGGAGTTCTACGACGTGCGCGCTGCAGAGGCGGCGCTCAGGGCGCTCAACCGCAGCAGCAGCAGCAGCAGCAGCAGCAGCGTCAACGGAGGCCCCACGGGGGTCACGCTCCACGCGACCCGCCCCGGGGACGCTCGCTGCAGGTGAGGAGGAAATTGAGCTCCCATGGGGGCATTCGCTGCTCTTGTTTCCGCATGCCGGTTAATCAAGGCACTGCTTGCTTGAGCCGCCATGTACATCCACCCAGGGGAAGGTCTCTTCCTCTCTGTCCTCCCTCTTCTTCCGTTCTCGCCTCCAATCACGCTTCCCTCGTTTGTATCTCTTCGGATGGGCTTGCCCCCGTGTGTTCTTGTGTTTTTGCCGTCAGCGCGACTAGTCAAGAGAGTGCCGGGTCAGCATCGGCAGCTGCTGCAGCTCAGCGGGAGCAGGAGGAGCAGCAACAGCAACAGCAACAGCAGCAGCAGCCACAGGAGGTGAGCGTTTTGTGTGTGGTCGCTGTTTTTTTTTTATACTCCATTCTATCAAGCTCCCCTCCCTGCTATCAACACTCCGGTTGTGAGCAATTGCACTTCCAACAATTTCTGGCGCTTGCGAGCATTTTCCGTTTTTGTTTTTCTTCTTTTTTTTTTTTTTTTTTTTTTTTAAGGCTGTTTATGTACTGTGCGGTTTCAGTGTATCCCGTGGCCCTAATGGTGCGTTCCAAGCTCTGGTCAAACTTCTGGTTAACCGATTGTTTACCAGAAGTTGGATGACCAGAAGCTTTTGGTCAATAGTGCATTCCCACTCAGCACACACTTGATCGCTGACCAGAAGTTGGGTTTGGATGACCAGAAGTTGGGTTTGGATGACCAGAAGTTGGGTTTGGATGACCAGAAGTTGGGTTTGGATGACCAGAAGTTGGGTTTGGATGACCAGAAGTTTGACCAGGGCCCAGAACGTACCCTTAGTGTTTCTGCTTGTGTCTGTCCGTGCGTGTGCACCTTGGCTTGTCACAGGCATCCGAATCCTTGTCTCAGAACCGCTCAGTGCAGCAGCAATCCCACGCGCAGCAGTGGCTGCAGGAGGAGCAGCAGCTGCAAGCACAACAGCAGCAGCAGCAGCAGCAGCAGCAGCAGCAGCAGCAGCAGCAGCAGCAGCAGCAGCAGCAGCAGCAGCAGCAGCAGCAGCAGCAGCAGCAGCAGCAGCAGCAGCAGCAGCAGCAGCAGCAGCAGCAGCAGCAGCAGCAGCAGCAGCAGCAGCAGCAGCAGCAGCAGCAGCAGCAGCAGCAGCAGCAGCAGCAGCAGCAGCGCAAGCAGCAGCAGCAACAGCAACAGCAACAGCAACAGCAGCGATCTCAGTCCTTTTTCCAGCAGCGACACCAACACCAGCAAAACGAGCAGCAGCAGCAGCAGCAGCAGCAGGAGGAGCCTCCGCTCCCCCCTATGCTCCCACTGAGCGCTCTCCTAGACGCAGCTGGCCCCATCTCCGTCTCTCTGCCCCCATCCGACCGCCTCTGGCGCTCCCAGGGGGGAAGCGCGCACCAAGCTCCGCCTCTCCCCCCGTCATCCCCCCATGAGGCGGCTGCCGCCGCTGCAGCCGCCACCACGGTGGAAGTGGGGCGCGGGGGGCGCATTCTCCCCCCTGGCGCCCCTTCCGCGTCTTCCCCCCCGCGTGCTGATGGCGGAGACGCAGGTGCAGGGGTGAGGACGGCGGGTGTGGAGCTTTTATATGGGCATGGGGCTGTTAGGGGTGGTAGAGGTGGTGGGGGTGGTGGGGGTGATGGAAAGGGGAGTGAGGTAGAGGAAGGGGAAGGACAGGGAGTTGAGAAACCGCAGGGAACAGTGCAGCGAGATGAGCAAGTGCTGGCTCAGATTCTGCAGCAACAGCAGCAACAAGGACAGCAGCAAAGCCAGCAGCAGCAGCAGCAGCAGTCGGTGCAATTGTGGCATCAACAGCAGCAACAGCGTCTGCTGCACCATTCCAACTCCCTGCCAGACTACAATCTCAACGCCGCTGCCACAGCCTTCTCATCTTCCTCCTCCTCCTCCTCCTCCTCTCCCTCTCCCTTCCTCGCGTCCGCCCCAAACAACGACTCCCACGCGCGTCTTAACGCAACAAACCCACCCGCAGCTGCTGCGGTTGCTGCAGCTGCTGCTTCAACTGCCGCCGCCGTCGCTGCAGCCAATGCAGCTGCAAGTGCTGGTCCGTCCCCGTACCAAGCGGTGAACCCCGGTGCTGGTCCTGCGTGGATGCCCAGAGCGAGCTCTGAGACGTCCCTGGGTGCGGTTGCACGCGCTGTGCGTGGGAGTGGTGGCGGTGGTGGTAGCTGGGCCAACACTGAGTCGCTTCTTGTGAGTAGTATCTTGGAGCATGGGGAGCAGCAGCAGCAGCAGCAGCAGCAGCAGCAGCAGGGAGGAGGAGTCTCAGCACGGGGTTTGGAGCACCACATTCAGCACCGGCAGCAGCTGCTGCAGTTGCAGCAGCAGCAGGAGTTGCAGGAGCAGCGGCAGAGGCATCAGCAGCAGCAGCAGCAGCTAGAAGAGCAGCTACGTGCACTCTCCTCCCACACGCACCTCTCCTCGTCTCTCCCAGAGAACGCCTTGTGGGGAGGGGGTCCCTCGTCTCTTCACCCGTCGCTGCCACCAGCGCTACGCCCGGCCCTTCACGAGCAGATGCAACTGCTTCACTACCAGCAGCAGCAGCTGCATCAGCAGCATCAACAGCAGCAGCACCAACAGCTGCAACAGCGGTTGCCTGTGTCTCTCCTGACCTTAGCACAAACCCTGAGCTTGCAAGCTTCAGCAGGAGGTGCAAATCCCACGCTGCAATCACACCTGCTCAACCAGCTTTCATTTCAGCAGCAGCAGCAGCAGCAGCAGCATGGGCTGCCAGGGTTAGGGGCAGTTGGGGCGGACGCGTTAACAGGTGGCAGTGGAAGCATGGGTATGGGTTCGGAAATGGGTGGGCTTGTTGCAAAGATGGGCCGAGCTCACTCGTTTGGAGCGCTCGGTCACTCCTTACCAACCATGGCTTCTGCTTCCTCTGCTACCACTGGTGCTGTTGGTGGTGGTGGCGCTGCTGGTGGTGCTAGTGGTGGTGATGCTGCTGGTGGCGGCGGTGGGGGTCCTCATGGGTTTTCGGCCCCTGCCCACCGTGCTGCAGACCCTTTTGCAATGAAATTGCAGTTGTATGCGCAGGCTCAAGCGCAGCAGCAGCAGCAGCAGCAGCAGCAGCAGCAGCAGCAGCAGCAGCAGCAGCAGCAGCAGCAGCAGCAGCAGCAGCAGCAGCAGCAGCAGCAGCAGCAGCAGCAGCAGCAGCAGCAGCAGCAGCAGCAGCAGCAGCAGCAGCAGCAGCAGCAGCAGCAGCAGCAGCAGCAGCAGCAGCAGCAGCAGCAGCAGCAGCAGCAGCAGCAGCAGCAGCAGCAGCAGCAGCAGCAGCAGCAGCAGCAGCAACAGCAGCAACAGCAACAGCAACAGCAACTACACCAGCAGCAGCAGCAACAGCAGCTGTTTGACCACCGTCAACAGCAGCAGCAGCTGTTTCAGCAGCCGTTGCAGCACCGCCAGCAGCAGCAGCAGCAGCAGGTGCATGTACATGCGCAGCAGCATTCCATGCACCACCAGCAGCACCACCACCCAATCCACATGCGCTCGCCCCATCACAACTCCGACTCGCACCTTCACTTCGCCGCGTCAGACCCCCTCCTCCCTGGTCGCTCCTACAGCCTTCTCTCAGGCTCGCCCGACTCGTTTTCCTACGACAGCCCTCTCTTAGGTTACGGGCTGCTGGGAGGTTCTGTGGGAGGGAGTGGAACAGGCATGGGGGCCGGATGGTCGGGGGTGGGAGCAGGAGGAGCAGCAGTGGGAGCGGCGGTGCCTGGTAGTGGTGGTCGTGTGGTGCATGGGATGGATCATTTCGGTTCTCTTTCTGGCTCGTTCTCGGCGGGCTCCTTTGCTGGTGCGCTGTCTAGCTCTCTGTCCGCCGCTGCTGCTCTGCATCACGGTGTTGACACCACCTTTGGTCTCCATTTTCCACCACCTGCAGCAGCAGCAGGAGCAGCAGGAGCAGGAGCGCCCAGAGCAGCGTCCCCTGCTGTTGATTTCAACAGTGCTGCAGCAGCAGCAGCAGCAGCAGCAGCAGCAGCGGCTGCTGGCTCTGCGACAGTTGATTTCAGCGGTGCTGGGTTAGGTCTGGGCATGCCGAGCCTGAATCCCAGCTTGGCGTCGAGCCTGGGATCTGGGCTCGGGAGAGGGTTTGGGTCGCAATACGGGGTGGGAGGAATAACCCCGCCAGGTTTATCCTCAGGTGTTTCGGCTAGCAGCATGAGCCTGCGCGAGGCAGTTGGCAGTATGGGCAACATGGGCAGTATGGGAAGCATGGATAGAGCACGTGGGGGTGCAGGAGCAGTGGCGGCGGCTCTTATGCTGGGGATGGAGAGTGGTTTGGAAGGCACCCCTCCCTCTCCCAGTCTGCTGTCGCCTCACCTGAAGAACAGCGCCAGTGGACGGTCGTTGTCGGGGCTGGGAGGGGGGGAGAACGCTGGGAGGGTTGCAGGAGGGCCAGGAGGGGGAGGAGGGGGTGGCGGGGCGGCAGGAGGAGGGGCAGGGATGGAAGGGTATGGGGAGAGGAGTCGAGGGAGGAGGTCGGAGGGTGGGGGAGGCGACGGGGGTGGGGGGGGCGGTGGGGATGCGAAGCGGCAGTATCTGCTGGAAGTGGATCGGATACTGCGAGGGGAGGACTCGCGCACCACGCTCATGATCAAGAACATTCCCAACAAGTGAGCCCCGTTCCGTTGTAGGGTTCTTCCTTGTTTTGTTTTGTTTGGTTTTGTTTGTTTTGTTTGTTTTGTTTGTTTGTTTTTTCGCTCAAACTGTAGTGGTGGGAGAGATGTTGGCAAGCAGGATGCTGTGTGTGGAAAGTTGTTGGTATAAGAGAGAGTCTGCGGCAGCCTGTTTGAGACGGTGTTGGTGTCAGTAATTCTGCCAGCCATTGCCAATGGTCCCCACCCTCTTGTTGAGTTCTATTCGTTTCCATGTTTGTGCGTGTGTGTGGCTGGATGAATGTGCCTGCGCATGTTACGTGCCTGTATGGCTGTGTTGTGTTTCATGTATGTGGGACGAATTTCATGCATGTGTGTGCATGCATGCGTGTGCATGCATGTGTGTGCATGCATGTGTGTGCATGCATGCGTGTGCATGCATGTGTGTGCATGCATGTGTGTATCTGCAGGTACACACAAAAGATGCTCCTGGCAGCCATTGATGAGAAGCACAAGGGCACATACGACTTCTTCTACCTCCCCATTGACTTCAAGGTCCGCCCCATCCCACCCACGCTTTCCTCCTTTTTCCTCCTCCCCTTACCCTCTTCTCCTTCTCTCTCGGCCTCTCTGCCGTTCACCACTCCCCCTCTCTCTCCGTTCCTGCTGCTGCTGCTGCTGCCTCATATTCCTGCCATTCCAACTCTGCGGACTTCAGCATCCATCCATGGTGCTTCGGTATTCATCCTTCATTTCTATCGTGTATCGTGTCGCTTCAGCACCATGCACGCACCTCCCCACCCCCACCCCTTTCATTTCTCCGTCATTTTTGCTCGGTGTAAATCTCTCGCTTACTTTTGTCGCGTGCGTCTCCCCCCCACTCCCCCATACCCCACCGCTTATCGCAAGCAGAACAAGTGCAACGTGGGATATGCCTTCATCAACATGATGGACCCATATAAGATCGTTCCACTCTACCAGGTACTTCTGCTGCTGCTGCTGCTTCTACTCTTGCTTCCGATTTTTGTGCTGCTAGTCTTGTGCTACTTGTTCTGTGCTGCTAGTCTTGTGCTACTTGTTCTGTGCTGCTAGTCTTGTGCTACTTGTTCTGTGCTGCTAGTTTCTGAGCAACTAGTGTTTTTGCCACTAGCTGTGTGTTGCTACTGTGTTCTTCTTTTCTTTTTAGCTACCCACACCCTGCAGCTCGCCGGCCCTACCTCCAACCCTCCCACCTCTCGCTGCACCTCTCGACCACCCCTGTTCATGCTCTCTGGTTCGGCTCCCGGAAAAAAAAAATCCTCTTGCCTGCCTTAGTTTGAGCAGGGCTATCCGCCTTAGAGTGTATGCCTGTGCTTATGGCCTTTCTGTCTCTTAGGTACCCATCGTCTGTGCCCTGCCTTACCCCCCTGTACTCCGTAACCCCGCTCCTTCATGTCAAGGCAGAGCTTCAAGGGGAAGCGGTGGGAGAAGCTCAACAGTGAGAAGGTGGCCAACATATAGCGTACATAGCCGGGGCCCATCTGCTGTCTGCTGTACAACACGTGTGTAACGACTCTGTCTAACACTGTCCCCTCTTGCCATCCCTAACCTCCCTGCTACTGTATCATCAGAGCTTCAACGGGAAGCGGTGGGAGAAGTTCAACAGTGAGAAGGTGGCCAACATAGCGTATGCGCGCATCCAGGGCAAGCAGGCGCTCATCGCCCACTTCCAAAACTCCTCGCTCATGAACGAGGACAAGCGCTGCCGCCCCATCCTGTTCCAGTCGCAGGGGCCAAACGCAGGCGACCAGGTGAGCGCCGGTGCTGGCAGGGAACCTCTTAATGCCCACCGTTTTTCTTTCCTATACATCCCTGCATCTCTGGTGCTGCTGCTGTGTAAGTCGCTCTGCAAGATCTTGTATTGTGAGCAATGGGAGGTCATGTCAGCCTTTTTCCCCTCCTAAATTGGTTGTCTTTGCCTGCTCCTTTCCCCCTCCCTGATAGTTTCTCATTGGCTCTCTTGCTCCCCTCCTATTCCTCTGACCTTCACCTCTGAACTTCACCTCTGACCTTCACCTCTTCAGGAGCCCTTCCCAGTGGGAATCAGTGTGCGTGCAAAGCGGGGTGGCAGCAGCAATGGCGGAGCAGGTGGCAGCAGCAGCGGCGGTGGTCACAGTGCCGGCGCTGGCAGCAACAGCAGCAGCACCAACATGCTGCATCACGGCAGTCCCGGCAGCAGCAGCAGCAGCCGAGAGAGCTCGTTCCACGGGGCCGATATGCTCTCTCGCCGCTCCCTTCCCTCCTCCGCATCTGCTGCCACTGCAGCAGCAGCGGGAGGCATGCATGTCTCTGGTGCTGGTGGTGGTGGCAGCGCATTGGGTGATTTGTCCACCAGCTATCGCCTCCCCTCCTTTCTTTCTGGCGGCCACGGTGGAGGATCTCCTCCCGACCGCTTCTTTTAGCTGTGTCGCTTGATCCGTGTTTCACTTACATTTTTTTCCTGACAATGGAATATTGGTTCCCTTACCTGCTGCTAGTATAAAGCAGGGACGGGACCAGCTAGGGTCTGTCCATGGATGCTCTTTGAGGGGGGCACTGTAACCATGGAAATTGAATTCTGTGGGAAGTGGGTTTGCTGTTTCCCACAAGAATCGTTTTCACATTTTTGTTGTTAATTTTGTTTGTAAATGTTATGTTTGTACCGAGTGCTTTCCTTGGGAATTTGTTTCCCGCAAGCTGGGTGATGATTGCGAGACGGTACGGTAACCAGGCCGAAGCCAGTCTCGTGTTGTCGTCCCAGAGCCAAGACTCGTTTCGCAAGGCTGGCAACAGTTTCGCACGAATTACGAACCCGCGAAATTCGACTCAAGTTGCTGTCCGACACATTAGTTGGTTACCCTTCGGCTGTTCGCAACTCTCTCGACCCACAAAGCCGTCCCACCGAGGGCCAGGCCCGAATTTCACAAATTCACGGTTTACAATACCTGGGGAAATATCAAGGGACTTGGGACTTAGCGAGTGTCGTTGTCACACTCCAGTCACGTCGCTGCTGCTCTGGCGCTAGCTTTCAGGAGATTCTTTTCCTTTAGCTCCGAGCACGTATCATTGATCATTGATCACTGAGCACGTTAGATTGTTGCGTCAGCAGTGGGCTGTCGACAGATCATTCTCGTATCGTTACCAGGCCCGCGTCGAGTCCGGCGTCGGGAACTCTGCTCTGACGTGTTTGCACACAGTGCTGTGTATCCGATCTCCCGGCCGTTCTTTCAGTTGTATCGACGCGCGGCTGTTTTACAACCCATGGCTTCGGAAGGCGCAGCAGTCGAGGGGGCGAGTGCTGACGCGGGGAACGCCGCGACCGCTGCAGCGCCGCCGGTGTCAGCTTCGCCAGGCGACGAGCACCGAAATCTGAGAGTTCTGGCGAAACGGTTCGGTGACTTGCAACGTACCATGGGTGCCACTGCCAAAGCAGACAGCTCTAATGCCGCTGATACTGCTGCTGCCGGAGCTGCTGCTGCTGATGCTGGTGCGGATTCTGTCGCCGGAGGAGACGGGCGGAGGAAGGCGAGCGTGGCGGGGCAGGCGGAGGCGATGAGCGTGGCGGAATTCGCGCACGCGTGCGACGGCATCTCGCGGCTCTTCTCGCTCCTGGGTGTCGCCTTCGCGTTCGCTGGGAAGGACTTTACGGATAAGGTAGGTGCGAGCGGAGACGTTACGAGTCACCAGGGAAACGATTCTACAGAGGATCTTAAACGAGCTGCAGCTGAGAATTCGGGTGTGTTTTTAGTCGACTTGAAACACCCACCACATCCACCCCTCTCTCCACCGCATCCTCTACACTTTCCTCCTCACCCTTCCTCTCTTCACGTGCAAGGACCTGACGGCAGCAGGCAGGGTGACACGTGATGGGCGCGGATGTGAGCAGAAATTGAGTAAAGGTGCACAACAGCACAACCCCTCGTCCTCTCCTCTCTCGAACCTGCAATTTCCTAGGTGAAGGACCTGACGGCAGCAGGCAAGGAGATATCACGACTCTGGGTGGAATGGTGGACGCGGACGTGAGCAAGGGCACTGTGAAGGTGCAGAACAGCACAATCCCTCCTCCCCTCGTCTCACTAAACTAAACCCATCCCAACCCCTCTCCACTGCACCCCTTCTCCCTGGCGCCCCGCCCCGTCCTCTCCCTAGGTGAAGGACCTGACGGCAGCAGGCAAGGAGTTCTCGACTTTAGGCGGCATGGTGGACGCGGACGTGAGCAAGGGCTCTGTGAAGGTGCAGAACAGCACCAACCCCCGTTCCCTCCTCTCTCCAACCCATCCCCACCTCTCTCTACCGCATCCCTCCTTCCAACCACACCGCAATCTCCCCAGGTGAAGGACCTGACGGCAGCAGGCAAGGAGTTCTCGACGCTGGGCGGCATGGTGGATGCGGACGTGAGCAAGGGCTCTGTGAAGGTGCAGAACAGCCACACGCGCAACCTGCTGCGCGTGCTGCGCGGCCTCGACATGATGCGCCGCCTCTTCTGCTATATCCTTGAAGACTGGTGCGTGCGACAGAGAGAAAGGTGCTGGTGTTGTTCACTGGACCCACGTATGCTGTGCTACGGAGCACAGATACCATGCTATCTTCATCATGCGTGTCGTGCTGCGCGGGCTCGACATGATGCGCCGCCTCTTCTCTTACATCCTTGAAGACTGGTGCGTTGGAGTGCGTGGGGGGGGGAAAGAGGGGCGGTCCTGGTCTTTTGAGGTGCCTCAAAAGACCTCGGCGTGATGCGCCGCCTCTTCTCCTGGTGCGACTGGTGCGTGCGACTGAGTGAGTGTGTGTCCGGGTGTGTGAGTGGGGAAATAGAGGGGGGAGGGGGGAGGAGGTGAAGGGGGAGGAAATGGGGGAGAGGGAGGGAGTGTGGGCGTGCGTGTGTGTGGGAGTGTTCACGTGTGGTTGTACACGTGTGCGTTGTTGTGGGCGAAAGTAAAATTGCTGGCTTGGCTCATCAGCAACCTACCTGCGGCGAGTGCTCAATCCTGGTATGGCTGCCTATTAGACAGAACCTGTCACAGCACAATCTTACAACCTTGCATTGTGGGCATTCACTCGCTAAACCATGTGTTCTGTATGCTACAGAGCACAGACAGCATGCAAGAGGACACCAGTTAGGCGCCATTTGGATAATACGTGGCAGCAACTTAGGATTCATGAATGAACGCTGTATTCTCAGTATCCAACCCATTCAGATAGCATGAACACTATGTTTGACATGCTTCTTCCTCTGCCATGTCTTGAGCATCTGAGTCCTCTGCCGCCGTCTGCTCAACAATTTCCCCTTCATCTTCTCCTCTCTCTCCTCCTGCCTTCCCCCCCCTCCCGCCCTTCCCCGTGCTCTCCCCCCACACCCCATGCCCCTCGCACGGTGCAGCATGAAGCCACTGAGGGAGCATGCGAGCCGGGCATACAGCGAGGTGTTCAGCGCTCACCACTCGTGGGCCATCCGCAGCCTCGTGGCTGCTGGCATGTACGCACTCCCCTCCACCGACTCCTTCCTGCACCACCTGGGGGAAGACGGTGAGTGCTCATACGGCTCCATATCTGTGTCAGTGTTTGTCATGTGAGTGCGTTGTATGTAGCGCTGGTGTAACGCGGTGAGTTTTGAGCCCACCTTAAAGCCAGCTGCGGCCTCTTGGCGTGGCTGCTGGCATGTACGCGCTCCCCTCCACCGACTCCTTCCTGCACCACCTGGGGGAAGACGGTGAGTGCTCATACGACCTTACAACCAGTGCGCGCTGAGTGTTGAGCCGGCCTTCTTAAAGCCAGCACGGCGAGTGTTGAGCCGGCCCTGAGATTTGTTGAGTGCCATTGCATGTAGCGCTGCTGTAACGTGGTGAGTTTTGAGCCCACCTGAAAGCCAGCTGCAGCCTCGTGGCTGCTGGCATGTACGCGCTCCCCTCCACCGACTCCTTCCTGCACCACCTCGGGGAAGACGGTGAGTGCTTGGCCGATATTAAAGCCAGTGCATGCTGAGTGCTGCGGCCACATGGGTGCTGGTATGGTATGTATGCTCTTCCATCCACCGAGTATTTTCTGCACCACCTCGGTAAGGCTGCGCGAGAGTGTGGGTGTCGTGGTGGCTTGTGGGCGAAGGGGGCTGGGTTCGGTTCGGTTGGGTTGGATGGTTGGATGTGACGAAACTATGGAAAGAATGACAGAGGACGAGGTTGCAGAGGTTGCTGGGCCATGGTGGTTAATCGATATCTATCGTTCAATCTGGCGACTCTCTCGTTTCTGGCACTTTGGAGAAGTTGGAGCTGATAGCAGCAGGGGTGGGATGGCGTCTTCCTTCCTCTTGCACTGTATTGTTCGCCCCTTTCCCTGTTGCCCAATGCCTTGGAAGATTTCTGCATTGCAATTATGTTGCACCCGAGTAATTCCTATTGCCTGCTGTAATCCCTGGTCCCTCTCTCTGCTCTCTCAAAGGGACAAAGAAATATGATGGGTTTATGTGCCATCTGCTATGCCTGCCTGGCCTCTGCTCATGTCAATCCCAACCCAACTAGCAGAGGAGTCATGGCGTGAGCCATCATCCGAGTTTGTTACAAGTGTCACTGATGTCGCTGCTGCGGTGGAGGATCTATTTGTTTCACGTGATCTTGGCCTTGACTGGTGAGGTGACCTCATTGCTGCATAAGCATAACTGCCGCTTGTGTTGTTTTTGTAAACGGTTCTGAGGTGTCATGTCTCATGGGATTGCTGATGACTATGTAAGGGCTTGGTAGCAAGTAACCAAGTTAGGAGGAGTGCAGGATGGAGGAGCAGGGCCAGCTCTAGCTGTGGCTTATTTGTACAAATGAATATAACTCGAGAGAGCAAAAATTACGGCTCCATGTCTGTGTGGTGAGGGAAAGTGGAGCACTTATTGTGTGGGCGAAGGGGCATGAAGCATGCATGGTTCTTCTGACATTATCTACCGGAAGCTTCGCAGATGTGGCCTGGACGAAGCAATCTATCATAGATGCACCATAGGGAAAAGATGGAGATTGAATGTGTTGTAACATGCGCCATAACTAGGCTACTTGTCTGTAAAATTGCATTTATCGCCCATCCTCGGAAACGAGTTTCGCGAAGACGACTTTCGTGGTGCAAATCACGACGGCGTGCGAATGACCCCATGCGATGCCATTCCCAGAAATTCGGATGCGACGCGGCTGGATTGGGTGCTGCGATGTGGTGTGATTGTCATCGCACCTCGAGCCCCTGATTAGGTTGTAATGGGCGGTTTGGGTGGAGTCTGGTGTTGAGTGTGTTTTCGTTCGGTGGAATGGGTATCTGCACGGTGATGCATCTTCATCTTCTGTGTGCTACACTGCCGAGAAATCTCTAGAAGTCCACGCAACGCAATTTGTAATTTCTTCGATCTCTACTCTGCAGCAACCCTTGGTCAATTGCTGGGCTAGGTACTTCTGTTAGCTCTTCCACTAAAGCGATTTCGTTAATCTCCTTCACTCACAGGGCCACACTCTAGTCCTTTCTTCTTCGACGGCTTTCACGTAAATCCCAACGTGCGGCTTCTTTTACCGCTGCTGCGCAACTTCGTCGAGCGTGGCGTCTGAAATGGATTCGTTCAACACCAGTTCGTCACCACCTCGGACGCGCCGCCTCGAACCCGATCCTTTCGCGCGCCTCTCTGACGATCTCGTCGCTCACATTCTCGCTCTCGTCGCCTCCAACGGATTCCGTTTCCACCGCAATCCGTGCCTCACAACCGCCGCTGCTACTTCTGACGCCGCCACCACCGCCGCCGCCGCCGCCGCTTTCGCCGATTCTGCCGATGTGGAGGCTAATGCGGTTGGGGACGGGAGTGACGGTGCCGTCAGCAGCGACGACTACGATGCTCTTGGCGAAAGGGGTGAGGACGAAATGCTCGAGTGCATCGAGCGGGCAGTGAAAAAACCGTGCGCGCGTTTCGTACGCGTTGTAGAGCTCACCGAAGCCATAGCTCTCGAGGCCGCAGCGACCGCCGCCAACTACGCTCGAACCATGACACTCCATCTCGACCCCGACGATCCCCACACGCCGTCAGCTGCGCATATCCTCGCCTCCGCCTTTCCGCCCTCCCTTTCCGAAGCCCGCACGACCTCCGCTCCTCTTCCGCCCCCGCCTCCGCCTCCGCCGTTCACGGTGTTCCACCACGCGCTCGTGTGCAAGCGCTGGCTCCGCTTGGCGCGCTTCAGCCTCCCCGCCATCCTCCTGCAAGCCGACCGCCGCCTTTCCACCCAAACCTTCCGCTCCGTCCTCTCCTCCGCACCTCCTCCCTGCCCCTCCTCCCCTCCCCTACCCCTCTCCCTCTCCCTCGCCCCTCCCAGTCCCGAACCCGCCTCCGCCGTTTCCCCCTCCTTTCCCCTGCACTCCCCGCTCACCCTGCGTCACCTGCACATCGGCCCATCGGCTCTAGACGCCATAACAGACGATCTCCTTCACTCCATCGCCACGGGGTGCGCGCGCTCCCTCACGCACCTGTCGCTGTATCGCCACATGAACCTGCGCTCCTGGGAGCGGAACCGCGGCTCCATCGACCCCGACCACGCCGTCGCGAAAGTAACAGAGCCCGCCGTTACCGCGCTTTTCGCCGCCTGCCGCCGCCTGGTCAGCCTGAAACTCACGCTGCCCCTGTGCCTGCCCGAGCTGCCCGCGTCCGTGAGTCTCCTGCAGCGGCTGACGAGGCTGGAAGTTTCATGCGGCCGCCTCGATCCGCATATCAGGGCGGTCGCTGGTGGTGATGCCGCTACGGCGTTAGAGCCAACACCCCAGCCGCGGTTCCCCGAGGGCGTTGGTTCGCTCTCCGCGTTACGTTCTCTAAGCATCCGCGCGCCTTGCGTGCGCGCCCTCCCGCACACCCTCTCCCGCCTCCGCTCCCTCACCTCGCTGAAACTCGTCGGCTGCAGTTCCCTCCGGCAGCTGCCCGACGGTCTCGGGCAGCTAAAAAAGCTGCAATACCTGGAGCTGGCGGGCTCGTCTTCCATGGATTCCCTGCCCGACTCCATCGGCCTCTTATCATCCCTCGAAACCCTCCACCTGGTCGCGCTCAATGCCGACTTTCTCCCAGACTCCTTCGCCCACCTGTCCTCACTCAAACGCCTTTTCATCACCAACCTCTCGCGCCTGCAATCGCTTCCTGACGGCATCGGGGAGCTGCCCTCCCTGCAAGTACTCAACATCAGTTCCTGCTCTCTCTTAGCGGCTCTCCCGCCCTCCATTTCCGCCCTCTCCTCCCTCACTGCTCTCACCGTTTATAACTGCGCTGCCCTCACCTCGTTACCGGAGGATATCGGTGACGTTCCACGCCTCGCCTCTCTCGTCCTCCACTATCTTCACTCTCTTACGGCTATTCCGGACTCTCTCGCTCTCCTTTCCTCCCTAACGAACCTTCACGCGGCGGACTGCAGGGTTCTAACGCGCCTGCCAGCGTCTTTCGCGGGGATGCACTCCCTCTCTCGCCTGCAGCTCCTCAAGTGTCCTTTGAGATCGCTGCCCGAAGATATCGGGCAGCTGTCGGCGCTGACTGAGCTGCATCTGAATAAAGTAACCTGCGATTTGCCCGAATCGTTCGGGCAGGTGCTGAAGCTGCGGCGACTCACTATCGCTCGTTCTCCGTTTCGGCGCCCTCTGCCGGTCACTCTCACTCAGCTTGAAAACCTTACCATCCACGGTTGCTACAATTTGGAAGCCCTGCCCGAAACTATCGGGCAGCTCACGGCGCTCCGCACAGTGGAAATAGCTGGCTGCGCACGGCTGGAAACACTCCCTGAATCGCTTTCGCAACTGCCCGGCCTCGAAAGCCTAATTCTCGGATGGAAGGGTCTGGTGACTAAAAGGGAGGATCAGGAGCTCGGTCTAGCAACCTGCGTGTTTGACCCGGTTCTTTCCAACAGCCACAACGATGATGGAGATACGCCAAGAACTGCTTTCACTGACCTCCCGAGCACGTTCGGGCAGCTCGCGAAATCTTTAACTGCCCTAGAAATTCACGGGTGCCACGAGCTTCAGCAGCTGCCCGCATCGTTCACTCAGCTGACTCGCCTGCAGCGGCTGTGCATCTCCAACTGCCACAAGCTGAGGGGAATGCCCGCAGGGTGGGGCAACCTTCTGGGATTGCAGGAGTTGGAGCTCTCTCGCTGCAAGCTGCTGCGGACGCTGCCTCCACTCACCCCCTCCCCTCCTGTTGCCGCTACTGAAACTGAACCTCCTGCTGTTTCTGCTTCTGCTGCGACTTCTACTGCTGCTGCTTCTACTGCTTCTGCTTCTTCCCACGTTCCCCTTACTGCTCATGCCCCCCATCCATCCCCTCAGCCTTCAACCCAGCCCTCCTCTCCCCACCCCCTCCCATCCCTCCGCCGCCTCCTCATCCTCAAAAACCCCTCCCTCGCCTCCCTCCCTTCAGGTCTCCACCTCCTCCCCTCCCTACTCCACCTAGAAATCCGTGACTGTGTCAAACTCACCAGGCTCCCGCCGCGCCACTCGCCCTCGCCCTTCCCACCCACCATGCAAACCCTAATCCTGTCCAACACGCTACATAGCACCAGCAACATGCAGCATGCCATCTCCCACCTCTCCTCTCTCCAGCACTTGTGCATCGAACACATCCCATCTCTCAAAACTGTTCCCATTCTACCCTCCCTGGAAAGCCTTTCTCTCTATGACTTGTCCCTTATCTCTCCCATTTCATTACTCAACATCCACACGCTACAGAAACTGAAAATCCTGACCCTGCACACCCTCCCCCGGCTCTCCCCCCTCCCTCCTTCAATCACAGCCCTCTCTCACCTCCAACGCCTGCATCTGAGCCACATGCACTTTTCCAACCTGCCCGAGGACCTCGGGCAGATGCAAGGGCTGCGCATTCTAACGATCAACACTGCAAAGAAGCTACTAGCACTCCCCGCCTCCCTCACTCTCCTCACCTCCCTGCAGCACCTCAGAGTCTCGGAGTGCGAGCAGGTCTCCTCTTTACCAGAAGAAGGCTTCGGCAACCTCTCTTCTCTTGTATCTCTCACGGTCAATGACCTGCCGTTGCTGCTCAAGCTGCCCGCTGCTGTGGCCCAGCTGCCGTTGCTGCAGGTGCTGGACGTGCAGGAGTGCGAGCATCTGAGCGAGCTGCCCGAGGGGTTGGAGAGTGCGAGGAGTCTGCGGGAGGTTCATGTGGATGGATGCAACGAATTGGAGGATCTGCCCGAGCCGATCATGGCGCGGGCCGGCAGGATACAGCTCCATGCCATATAGACGACTTATGTAGGCGGAGCTTGATAGTTGCGGTTGGAGAGATGGGCAACTACATCGGTGTACACCAGATTTACGTTCACGAGCTACGATTGTATCATCTCATGGTGTCAACCACCTCTACCTGTCTGGTAGCTGATTTGTTTGCTGGTATGGTATGGGTTTCATCATTTACAAACAAAGTGTGGAATAGGTAAGATGCAAGTAAGTGTAAATGAAATGTGTTTGTTACATGCATGATAAATCTCCGCGAAATCTCTGCAAAACTGTTTCTATCGCGCCTCCCGAAAATGGAATTTCGTGAGAACTTGACTTTCTGTGTGCAAATTATGGTGACATGCCGTCTCATGCCATCTCTAGGGATTCGGGGACAGCGTGCGGTAGGATTGGGTGCTGTGATGTGTGCGGAACATCTGTTGGTCAGGTTGGGTGGATGCGATTGGCGGTTCAGATAAAGCTCGGTTGAGTGTGCTTGTTTCAGTTCGCTGTACGTCAGAGGATCTTCGTTTTTGCTCGAAACCTACCCAAACGTCTCGAACCGCTCAAACACGCACAGAATCGCGATCTATCCGCAATAGAATCAAACTTTCATTTGTGAGAAAATTCCGACTCTCGACTCAGAGCTCGTCCGTAGTTTTGACATGTCAAAACCACTAGTGTCAATTTGCTATTTTGACACTCACCAACATTGTTGGCAGCGTGTCATTTTTTCGCAGCCTTGATAGCCAGTAAAATTCGTCCGATACTTTCAGTTCTGACTCAGTCAATACCTACGAACCAGCCAGGATCGTCGCAGAAACTAGTCGGATGCTCCCCCAATGGCCAATCAAAACACACCGCTTCCTACTTGAAACCTAGGAACGGACGTGCACGAATCGTTTGCTTGCATATGCGAGTAACTCCCAACGAATGATCTTGCGTCGTGGATCTTCGTACAGGCGCTTCGAGCTGACACCGAAGCTACAGTGATTGACACGCAAATACACTCACGCTTCGGGCTGACACGCATAAACTTGACATGTCAAAACTACGGACACGATCTCATCTTCCTCTCACTCCTCTTGCGTTACGACACCCTGAACCTCCACCTCACAACACAACCCTTCTCACTTGCCGACTTTCACAAGCATAACACGTGCAGCTCATTCGGCCCGCACTGAGCACCCTTCAGCCGCGCATCTCGTCAAACACGTGGGTTCTCAAATGGATTCATTCAACGAGGGCTCTTCTCCTCGGCCACGCCACCTCGATCTCGATCCTTTCGCTCCTCTCTCAGATGATCTCGTCGCGCACATTCTCGCGCTTGTGGCCTCTAACGGTTTCTGCTTCCACCCCAAGCCGCGCCTTACAGCCGCCGCTGTTACTTCTGGCACCACCACAGCCACCGCCGCCGCCGCCGCCGCCGCTATCGCCGTTTCTGCCGCTGTGGAGGCTAATGCAGACGGGGGCGACGGTGCTTCTGCGGAGCGCGACGATGGGATCGCCGGAAACGTGGGGAATGCTGTTAACGTGTCGGTCAACAACGGGGACGGGTATGCGCGTGGCGACGCTAGCGAGGACGAGCTGCACAAGTGCATCGCGCGGGCAGTGAAAACAGAGTGCGCGAGTTGCCTACGCGTCATCTACCTCACCAGCGCCATCTTTTCCGAGGCCAACGCGACCGCCGCCAATTACGCTCGAATAATGACGCACCCTATCATGGATCCCGAAGATCCCGCGGATCCCGCGGATCCCGCGGATCACGGCACGCCGTCAGCGGAGCACATCCTCGCCTCCGCCTATCCGCCCCCCCTCTGCGGGACCTCCGCTGACTCCGCGCCCCTTCCGCCTCTGCTTCCGCCTCCGCCGCTCACCGTGTTCCACCACGCGCTCGTGTGCAAGCGCCGGCTCCGCTTGGCGCGCTTCAGCCTCCCCGCCATCCTCCTGCAACACCACCGCCGCCTTTCCACCCAAACCTTCCGCTCCTTCCTCTCCTCCCCACCTCCTCCCTCCCTCTCCCCTCTCACTCCCGCCTCCGCTTCCGCCTCCGCCGTTTCCCCCTCCTTTCCCCTCCACTCCCCGCTCACCCTGCAGCACCTGCACATCGGCCCATCGGCTCTAGACGCCATAACAGACGATCTCCTTCACTCCATCGCCACGGGGTGCGCGCCCTCCCTCACGCACCTCTCGCTGTATAGTCACAGGAACCTGCGCTATTGGAACCCGAATCGCCCCCCCGAAGATCCCGACATTGCCGTTACGAAAGTAACGGAGCCCGCCTTTTCCGCGCTTTTCGCCGCCTGCCGCCGCCTGGTCAGCTTGAAACTTGTGGTGCCCCTGTGCCTGCCCGAGCTGCCCGCTTCCGTGAGCCTCCTGCAGCGGCTGACGAGGCTGGACGTTTCGTTCGACCGAGACGAACGGGATAACAGGCCGGATCCAGAGCCCGAGCCGCGCTTCCCCGAGAGCGTTGGCTCACTGTCCGCGTTACGGTCGCTTCGCATCCGCGATACTTACGTGCGCGCCCTCCCGCACACCCTCTCCCGCCTCCGCTCCCTCACCTCGCTGAAAATCGACGGCTGCGCCGCCCTTCGGCAGCTGCCCGACGGCCTCGGGCATCTAAAAAGTCTGCAACACCTGGATCTGGCGAAGTTACCTGCCCTGGAATCCCTGCCGCACTCCATCGGCCTGCTATCATCCCTCGAAACCCTCCACCTGCGCGACGTCAATGTCGACTCTCTCCCAAACTTCTCCTCTGCCCACCTCTCGTCCCTCAAACGCCTCCTCCTCACCAGCCTCGCGCACCTGGAATCTCTTCCTGACGGCATTGGAGAGCTGCCCTCGCTGCAAGAACTGACCATCAAGTCCTGCGCTCGTTTAGCCGCTCTCCCAGCGTCGCTCTCCGCCCTCTCCTCCCTCACTGCGCTCACCGTTCAGCACTGCGATTCTCTCGACTCCTTACCGGAGGATATTGGTGACGTTCCTCGCCTCGCATCCCTCGTGCTCGACGATCTCCCCTCCCTTGCGGCGATTTCGGACTCTCTCGCTCTCCTCTCGTCCCTAATGCACCTTCATGCGGCGAATTGTCAGGATCTGGCGCTGCTGCCAGCGTCTTTCGCGGGGATGCAATCAGTCTCTCAGCTGCATCTCCTCGGGTGTTCTTTGGGATCCCTGCCCGAAGATTTGGGGCAGGTGTCCGGGCTGACCGAGCTGCAACTAAGCAAAGTTGCAGGTGATCTGCCCGAGTCGTTTGGGCAGCTTCTGAAGCTGAAGCGGCTCACTATCCACAGCTTCTGCGAATTGGAAAACCTGCCCGAAACTATCGGGCAGCTGACAGCGCTCCGCACAGTGGAAATAGCCGGATGCGGACTTCTGGAGACCCTTCCTGAATCTTTTTCGCAGCTGCCCAACCTTGAAAGCCTTACCCTCGGATGGAAGGGCGTGGTGACTAAGCGGGAAGATCGGGAGCTAGGCTTTCAAACATACATTTATGACAGGGTACGTTCATCAGGCAGCGACAGCGACAACAACAACAACGATGACGACGACAACGACGATGAATCGCGGAAAACAGCGTTGACTGACCTGCCGAGCACGTTCGGGCAGCTCGCGAGTTCCTTAACTACCCTTGAAATTCACGGGTGCCACGAGCTTCAGCAGCTGCCAGCATCGTTCACCCAGCTGACTCGCCTGCAGCGGCTGTGCATCTCCAACTGTCACTCGCTGAGACGCATGCCTGCAGGGTGGGGCAACCTCGTGGGATTGCAGGAGTTAGAGCTCTCGCGCTGCAAGCTGCTGCGGACTCTTCCACCACTCACCCCCCCTCCTCCTGTTGCCGCTACTGCTACTGCGGCGGCCGCTGCTACTGCGGCTGCTGCTGCTGTTGCTGCCGCTGCTGTTTCTGCTGCTGCTGCTGCGTCTGCTACTGCTGCTGCTTCTGCTTCTGCAGCAGCTGCTGCTGCTGTTTCTGCTGCTGCTTCTGCTTCTGGTGGTGCTTATGACGCTGCTGCTGTGGCTGCTGCTGCTGCTGCTGCTGTTGCTGCTTCTGCTACTGCTGCTGCTGATGCCTCTGCTGTTGCGTCTGCTATTGCTGCTGCTGATGCTGCTGCAGCTGCTGCTTCTGCTTCTGCATCTGCCACTGCTGCTGCTGCCACTTCCCAAGCTCCTTCCATTGAACATACTCCATGTTCCGGTGACACAGTCTCCTCTCAGCCTTCAACCCAGCCCTCCTCTCCCCATCCCCTCCCATCCCTCCGCCGCCTCCTCATTCTCAAAAACCCCTCCCTCGCTTCCCTCCCTTCAGGTCTCCACCTCCTCCCCTCCCTTCTCCACCTAGACATACGTGACTGTGTCAAAATCACCACGCTCCCGCCCGCCCCCTCGCCCTCGCCCTTCCCACCCACCCTGCAAACCCTAATCCTGTCCAACACGTTACGGAGCACCAGCGACATGCAGCAAGCCATCACCCACCTCTCCTCTCTCCAGCACTTGTGCATCGAACACAACCCAGCTCTCACAACCGTTCCCATACTATCCTCTCTGGAAAGCCTTCGTCTCTATGACTTATCCCGTGTATCCCCCCTCTCATTCCCCAACATCCACGCACTACAGAAGCTGCAAGTCCTGACCCTCCACGCCCTCCCCCGGCTCTCCCCCCTCCCTCCTTCAATCACAGCCCTCTCTCACCTCCAACGCCTCCATCTCCTCCGGATGGACTTTTCCAACCTGCCCGAGGACCTTGGGCAGATGCAAGGGCTGCGCGTTCTAACCATAGACACCTTACCGAACCTCTCAACACTCCCCGCCTCCCTCACCCTCCTCACCTCCCTGCAGCACCTCATGGTCTCTCTCTCTGACACATTCTCCTCCTTACCAGAGGATGGATTCGGCAATCTCTCCTCTCTCCTCAATCTCAGCCTCAAACACCTGCCGCTGCTGCTCAAGCTGCCCGCGGCCGTGTCGCGCCTGGCTTCGCTGCAGGTACTGGACGTGGAGCACTGTGAAAATTTGAGCGAGCTGCCTGAGGGGTTGGAGAGCGTGAGGAGCTTGCGGGAGGTGTATGTGGATGGATGCAGCCAGTTGGAGGATGCGCTTGAGCCACTGCTGGCGCGGGCAGGGACAATTCAGGTGCATATGTAGACTTGACTTGACAGCTTGAATTGAAATGCGTTTTGCTTTTAGTGAGCTCTCATGGTTGATTTGAGACTATGGGCTTTGTGACTTCGTTGATGTACATTTTAGCAAACACATGTCACTCCATATCCTATATCCCCCTAAGCCCTCCTGTTCCTGGAATATCAATTACCGTGCCCCCGCCCATGCCCTTCTGCTTCTGGTGTGATGATTACACAGGGTGTAAGGAATTTTTCGGATTCCTTACTGGGTCACACTGTACGCGTACAACCCCGACTTTCGGAAAACCAGGCTCGGTCCGCCGACCTCGCCTTCCGAGCCACTACCGCGTCGCTTTCGGGTTTCCCAACCTTGAACCTGCACCCAACCATCTCGCGACCCCGCGACCTCGGCCTAGCTAGCTTCGCTATATTAGTCCTAGGTCTCGTTGTGTTCTCAGACGTTGTAATCACTTCCGCATTATTGAGTTCTGCGCACTCTTCCTTTCACAACTCATAACACCTGGTATCAGAGCCTAATTTCCTAGGTTACCCTCGCGTTTCCGGGGTAGTTTGTAGAAGGGGAGCGATAGACTTGGTGGGCTGTTAAGCGGTCGGCCCGTGGAATAGATCCGATTATTCCACTCCGACTACGATAGCATTAACGCCTTCACCGAAGTCAGAAAAATCGCTAACCACCCCCTGCCCGTTAGACGAAGCCTGCGACATATGGACCAGGCGGAGTTCAACGAGTTCATGCAACAGTTCCGGATGGTGCAGGCCAACATGCAGACGATGTCTGCAGAAATGGCGCGTCTTCGGGAGGAAAACGCCGAACTACACCAGGCGCGTGGTGAAGCGCGCCAGGAGTCGCCTGTCGTGGACGACGCAAGTAGCAGCACTGCACCAGAAGAGCGGGTCTGGAGCGAGCTGGAAGGCGAGATGGATGCGGACGAGGCGAGGCAGGCGCAGCAGCAACAGTCACCGCAACAGTCGCGTGCAGCACCGACACGTGCAGCGGCGACGACGACGGCGACGCCGGCAGCAATGCCAACGGCCCCGATGGCAACAACGGCTTTTGTGAAAATCAAGCCGACAAACCCGCCCCCGTTTAACCCAAGTGACAAGTTCGTCACTGTTTCTGCATGGTTGTTCGGCGTGGAGGTGTTTTTCAATGCTGCCATGATTTATGACGATGCCACCCGCATTAATTTCGCAGTTTCACTGTTGCGAGGACCTGCGCTGGAGTGGTGGAGGCGAACGCTGCAGCACGAAGGGACTTCGGCAGGAATAGCACGTGCGAACGACGGGACTTCAACACCTGTCACGCATCAGGCAGCATCAATTTTTGGGACGGATACGATACGCACATGGAGGGAGTGGGGCGCCGCCTTGCGAACCAGGTTCGAGCACATATCCGCCTCGGACTCTGCTCGCATGAAGCTGCGTGCCTGGAAGCAGCTGACTTCGGTCCAAGACTACACCAGCATGTTCTGCAACTTGGCGGACCAAGTGGACGACATGAGCGATGCGGAGCGGTTGGATCGCTACGTGGCGGGCCTGAAATACGAGATACAGTATGAGGTCCGAAGAACCCGGCCACGCAGCTTCAACGACGCCGTCCAAGAAGCCGAGTCAACGGATGCGCTGATGCAGTGGGCGAGATCGAGCTCCCGGGAGGGCCCTCGACTTCGTGGATCGACTCAGCAGCCCACGATCAACGGCGTGGATGCACCAAGCCGTGCCCTTGGGCCGTGCTTTTTATGCAACCAGCTGGGCCACCTGAAAAAAGACTGCCCGAGGCTTAAGCAGGGGAAGAAGAACGACGGAGAAGGGTCGGGAAAAGATACGAGTCAATAGCAGAAGGGCCACCTACTGACGAGACCCTGTCGCCCGACAATCACCATCCACACCGGGTCGTGGTACCGATCAGAGCTATCGACCAGAACCGGACGAATAACGTGGGTGAACACGTGGACTACCCTATGCTGGTGGTAGGGAGGGTTAACGGTTATAAAATAAAAACATTCGTTGACGGTGGGGCGAGCCACAGTCTCGTCAACCTGGCAACGGCAAAAGAAATGGGGGTGAAGCTGACTAGGTGTCTGCCGGAGATTGACGCAAGGCTGGTGGACGGGACACCACTGGCCATCCGAGATGAGGCGCGAAGAATTGGGATACAGTGTGGCGATAAATTCGGGTTTGGCATGAAGATGTTGGCGACGACGTTGGACGACTGCGATGTGCTACTGGGAAGAGATTGGCTGCAGCGGTTCAATCCGACGATCGACTGGACGACTGGGGCGTGCGTCGTGCGAGGATACGGAGGGAAGACGACGCTTCCGAAATGGACGGAGCCGGAGCCGGTGACGACACGTGTCAACGCGGTCAACATGGCGCGAGCGATGAACAGCGGAGCTCAAACCTTCTTGGTGCACCTGTACGAGGTGACAGCTTCCGAGAAAATCGCGGACATCGACACCCTCTGCGCAGCAGTCCCCGAGGGATTGGCGAGCATTATTCGGAGGTATCCCGAAATTTTCGCGGACGACCTCCCGGACGGCTTGCCCCCCCAACGACCTGAGGATCATCGGATCCAGCTGGAGCCCGGCGCGCAACCTACTGTTCGGACACAGTGGCGGCTCAGCCAACCAGAGCTCGCCGAGTTGCGGGCCCAGCTGGATTACCTGCTCGCCAAGGGATTTATCCGGGCAAGAACGTCGCCGTTTGCAGCGCCGATACTGTTTACACCAAAGAAGGACGGGGGCCTACGCATGTGCATTGATTATCGGGCGCTGAATCGGGTCACAATAAAATCGCGTTACCCGATCCCGCGAACCGACGATCTGCTGGATCAACTTCGCGGAGCCCGGTATTTCTCGAAAATCGACCTGCGAGGAGGCTACCACCAAATTCGCGTGTTAGCCGACGACTGCCCGAAAACAGCTTTTCGCACACGCTACGGCAGTTACGAGTTTACGGTGATGCCGTTCGGACTGACAAACGCGCCCTCAACATTCCAGCTCACAATGAACGGCATTTTCCGGGACATGCTGGACAAGAAGGTCATCGTGTATCTGGACGACATCCTGGTGTACAGCGCGACAAAAGAGGACCATCTGCGGGATTTAGAGGAGGTGTTCCGGCGTTTACAGGGGCATCGGCTGATTACGAAGGGGTCTAAGTGCGAGTTTGTGAAGCCGGAACTGGAATTTCTGGGGCATGTGGTTTTTGGCGAGGGAATCAAAATCGACCCGCGTAAAGTGGACGCCATCGTTAAGTGGAAGCCGCCTTCTAATATCCCTGAGTTGCAAAGTTTTCTGGGGTTTGTTAACTACGTTCGCCGTTTTGTACCTAATATGGCAGGGATAACCAAGCCGCTGACCGACCTGCTGCACCACGACAGTGATTTCAGGTGGGGGGAGAGGGAGCAGTCCGCCTTCGACGCCCTCAAAAACATTTTGGGTTCGCCCCCGGTACTCCGCCTCGCCGACCCATCTCGACCGTTCGAAGTCGTCACGGACGCCAGCGATTTCGCCGTCGGCGCCGTCCTGCTACAGGACTTCGGCCAAGGGCTGCAACCCATCGCCTACGAGTCACGCAAGATGCAGCCACCCGAGCGCAACTACCCAGTCCACGACAAAGAGATGCTGGCCATCGTCCACGCATTTCGTACCTGGCGCTGCTATCTCACGGGAGCCGACGTGACAATTCGGACCGACCACAAATCGCTACAGTACATGCGCACGCAACCGACACTCAACCCGCGACAAATCCGGTGGTTGGACTTTCTCGAGTCCAATTTTCGGTACACCATCACGTACAAGAAAGGCGCCAACAACATCGCCGACGCCCTCACCAGGCCATCCATGCAAAACGCGGCGGTACTAATCGCCCACACCAACCCGATGCTGACGGGACTATTCACCCACGGCTACAAGATCGACAGGTTTTTTCGGAACCCGCAACAACAGGCCGCCACACCGCATGGCAAGTACTACCTAAAAGCCGGTACGAACCGGATTTGGGTACCAGCATACCGACCTTTACGGGAACTGCTGACGCAGGAGGTTCACGACTCCAACCTTTCCGGGCATTTCGGCACCGACAAAACACTGAAGCTGCTGCAGCGGAATTATTGCTGGCCGGACATGCACACCGATGTGCAGCGCTACGTGTCAACTTGCCCGACCTGCCAAGCAATGAAGTCGTCGCGACAAAGGCCAGCCGGACTGCTGCAACCCCTCGCGCCACCCGAACGACCGTGGCAACAGGTGACGATGGATTTCGTCACGGGGCTCCCAGCTGGCACGAGTGGCAACGACTCGGTAATGGTCGTCGTCGATCGCCTAACGAAAATGGCGCATTTCGCCCCATGCCGAACGACGATCACAGCCGAAGATACAGCCAAACTGTTCATCTCCACCGTCGTACGCTTACACGGGTTACCTTCGGCGATCATCAGCGATCGTGACCCGAAATTTACGTCGAAGTTCTGGCAGGAGACGTGGGCACAGTATGGTACCCGCCTGCAGTTTTCGTCGTCATACCACCCGCAAACCGACGGACAGACGGAACGGACAAATCAGACCATGCCAAGGGGTACCAGCAGAAGGAGAAGGTGGACTTCAAGGAGCTGTTTGCCCCTGTGGTGAAGCCGACGACGCTGCGAACCCTATTCGCGGGAGCCGCCATCAAAGGATGGGTAGTAAAGCAAATGGACATCGTAACGGCATTCCTTAACGGCATCCTTGAGGAGGAGATTTTTATGGCGCAGCCAGAGGGGTTTGATGATGGTAGTGGCAGAGTGTGGAAGCTGAAGAAGGCCCTCTATGGGCTGAAGCAGGCCCCTAGGCAATGGTACATGAAGCTGCGCGGAGTGTTGGAGGGGATCGGCTTCACTCCCTCAACGGTCGATCACTCCTTGTTCATGCTTGGCGAGGGGGAGCAGAGGAGTTTCATGGTGGTTTATGTGGATGACATCCTCATTTTCTCACCCTCTTCTGACCTTGTGAAGGAGGTGATGCT